ACAGGTCCTTCGTGGCATTCCGGCCGTTCGGAGAAGTTTCCTTGTCCTCGTGATTCGGGGGTATTGTGTTTGACGCACCACCCCCTCACAGGCGTCACCGCTTGTTGGTGCGTCAAACGCACCAACCCCTCTTCGGCGCAAGTTTCCGCACGTGTCACAGTCCGTGGGTGACCTTGAAAGCGAGGCCCGCACCAGGCCCGCACCAGGCCCGCACCAGGCCCGCACCAGGCCCGCGCCAGGGTTTTTTCGGATGTGACTCAATTTTTGATTTGACCGATTCCGCCGGTCAATCGCGGGACCTGCGCACGATGGAGCCAGTCTCCGACATAATCGGACACTGCTTCGTAGTTGGTGCGAGACATCAGCTGCGTGCCTCCATGTCGGGCTGGCGCGGCTCTGCCGGGCAGGTTCGCCGAAACTTTAGACAGTTGTCCCCCCGCAGGACAACTGGATTTTTTTTCACAGTTGTCCCCCCACAGGACCACTGGAATTTTTTTTCACAGTTGTCGGCTTAGACGACAACCTCGACATTTTTTTCCTGGCAAGAATCCCGACCTTGGCGCGGGCTCGGCAGGAGGCTTCTATGCCAGGTAGGTGGCGCGGCCGGGCTCCGATGCCGGGCAGGTGGCGGTGCGTTCATCCTGCTGGCCTCCGGTGGTCTCTGCCGCGGCGGGCGGGCTGGCGCCTGTGGGTTTTAAACACAGCTGCCTCTACTCTCATCTTGAGACCATGGCCTCTCCGTCGCGCCCGCAAGCCTGTATGGTTTCGCATCAAGACCTGCTCGAGATGTGGGAGGCCAACGTTGCTGTCTGGGACTGCTGGTTTGCAAACCAGAAAAGGCTGTACGACGCCCAGAGCCAGGAGCCCGATGAGATGCGCCGGCTGCACCTCGCAAACCAGCAGTGGGTGCAAGAAGAGGAAGAGCGACGAGAGAAGTCGCAGCGCAAGCGGCGACCGGCGCACAGATGCCGGAGCCATGAGATGCGCCGGCTGCACCTCGCAAACCAGCAGTGGGTGCAAGAAGAGGAAGAGCGACGAGAGGAGTCGCAGCGCAAGCGCCGGCGCACAGATGCCGGGATGGCAGAACACGACGCGGACCAACGCAGCGTGGCTCAAAGACAGGATTGACGCCCTCCAGCGTCTGCTCAAAGTCCAGACCGACGGCATTCAGGGGGTGCTCAAAATCCAGACCGACGCCGCCTTGAGCCGGTTTGCGATCGAAACCGACGATCTCCGTGGTGGCTCCCAGACGAAACCGACGTCCGTCGTGATCAGCTTTTGACCGACACCATCAACCTCGAGGCACGGTTCAAATTCAAAACCGACGCCCTGCATGAGTGGCTCGGTCGAAACCGACGCCCTCTATGACCGCATTGTAGGCGAAGAAATCATCACCTTCCATGAGCAGCTCAAAATCGAAACCGACCGCCTGCATGAGCAGATTGGCATCGATGTCGGTCGCCTCGATGAGATGACCCAATTCGACGTCGACGCCACTGCGAGCAGCTTGTGAGCAGAATCGACGCCCTTCAGGGGCTCCGGTGGGGCCAGCAATCCTGTTGTCACCCCAGGATTGAAGGGGCAATCCTGGGGTGACAACAGGATTGAAGGAGGCAATCCTGGGGCCTCGCAGCCATTGGCAAAAAAAGCGTGCTGCAGTCCTCCCCCCCCCCCACGGGAGGACTGAGAAGAATTCCGACCTCGGGTGGGGCTGGCTCCGATCCGGGCAGGTGGTGCGGCCGGGGTGGAGGCTTCTATGCCGGGCAGGTGGCGCGGCCGGGTGGCGCGCTAGGTATCGAAGCCGTTGGGCGAGCCATCAAACGAGGTTGGGCGAGCCAGTACTGAGGGGCCGTTGGGCGAGCCCGTACTCATTGGGCGAGCCCGTACTCATTGGGCGAACCCGTACTCATTGGGCGAGCCATCAAACAAGGTTGGGCGAACCCGTACTCATTGGGCGAACCATCAAACGAGGTTGGGCGAACCCGTACTCATTGGGCGAGCCATCAAACGAGGTTGGGCGAACCCGTACTTATTGGGCGAGCCATCAAACGAGGTTGGGCAAGCCAGTACTACGTGCTGCGCCTGCGCGGCGTCAAAAGTGCCCGCTTGGCACCCAGCGCACGCCACTTGAACAGTGCCTGCCACTTTCACAGTGGCCCCCTCCACTTGCACAGTGGCCTGCCACTTGAACAGTGGCCTCCATGCCACTTGTACAGCGGCCGCCACTTTCACAATGGCCAACGCCTGCTCCATGCGCCTGCTTGGCGCTGTGCCTGCTCGGCACATCTACAAGTGCCTGCTCGGCACGTCTACAAGTGCCTGCTCGGCACGTCTACTTAAGTGCCTCATTTGGGAAACCCTCTAAAGAGAGAGCGAAGCCTCCACGTTGTGGCGGGCTGGCGTGGCTCCGAGGCCGGCAGGAATGATGCTCGAAAGCATAAGTGGCACTTGTGCTTTCGAAGTGCCTCGGAGCTGGAAACAGGACCACCCATTTTTGGTTGCTGCCCGCGTGGAGTTCCACTGCAGACTGCGCCGCGCGAAAGTGCGAACATGGAGCACCTCTCTCTTTAGAGAGTTCCCAAATTCTGCGTGGAGGCATGTGGCTGCAACATAACGGTTTGGCAAAATGCCCCGCAGCTGCGTTTCTGCAAGGCGAGCCCCTCAAAGGAAACCCTGGCTGGCTTTCTGGCTGGCTTCTGGCTGGCTTTTGGCTCTCCTAGCTGGCTTCTGGTTGGCTTCTGGCTGGCTGGGCTTTGGCTATCAAAAAAGAGGTTTGGCTGGCTGGCTGGTTTTCTCGCTGGCTTTCAGCTGACTTTCTGGTTGGCTTCTGGCTGGTTTGGCTGGCTTTCTGGTTGGCTTCTGGCTGGTTTGGCTGGCTTCTGGCTGGCTTTCTGGTTGGCTTTGGCTGGTTTGGCTGGCTTCTGGCTGGCTTCTGGCTGGCTTTCTTTTTTTCTCTGTGTTTTTTAGCTCGCCTTGCAGAAACGCTGCGGGGCATTTTGCAAGCATATCTGGGGGTCGTTAGGTTGCAGCCACACTCCGCAGCGTTTTAGACTTCGAATCCTTCGCAGGACGAGGTCGTTTCCTGGACGGACGAGTGCTAGGTAGAATAGAATCCATTTGGGAAACCCCCTCTAAAGAGAGAGTTCCGACCTTAAGGGAGGGCTTGAGGGGGGGCTTGAGGGGGGGCTTTAGGGGGTCTTAAGGTCGAAGGGGGGGCTTAAAGGAAGGGGGGGCTTAAGGGGGGGGGGCTTAAGGGGGTGCTTAAGTGGGGGCTTCAGGGGGGAGCTTGAGAGAGGGGGGGGCCTTAAGGTGCGGGTTTCAGGGGGCCCGTGCGCAAGGGGGGGGCTTCAGGGGGGCTTCAAGGGGGGCTTAAGCCTGGCGCCGGGGGCTTCGACTTCAGGGGGGGGGTTCAGGGAGCTTTGTACTTGCGGAGCCGGCCTCGCTTCGAAGCCGCGGAGCCGGCCTCGCTTCTCCAAGTACGCAATCGTGTTTCTTCTATTCACGAATGCTGGCTCAAGTTTGAGAATGCGTCGTACGCCCTTTGAGCTGAAAAACAATGGTCTGCTCTGCACGTGTAAAGAAACCTTAGTAACCGCAAGAGCAAAAAAACATGTATTATACAACCCTTGAATTAGTACGCGCGGCCTAAATTGCTGCCCACAGTCCGGACGAAAATTGTATTACGACCCAGCCTGTACATAAGTGTAGCATCTTCAACACGGGCGTTTAACCGCCTCTGTCCAGCTGATTGCCCGTTTGGTTGGTTGGTTGGTTGGATTGGTCAGTGTGTTGGGGTTGTTGTGGTTGTTGTGGCTGAGCTGGGCTGGGCTGTTCGGGGTTGGTTTGCCTCCGGGTGTGTTTGGGTTGGTTTGGTGGAACCAAAGTTTGGTTGCTTGGGTGCGTGCGAGTGTAGATGGTCGTGTTTTTTTTGCGTGTTTGGGTTTGGGTTGGTGGTTGGTTGACTTGTTGGTTGGGTTGGTTGCAGGCGGGTTTTGCTGTCTAACGTCAACTCACCCCTTCCCCCCAATACGCCTAGCGCAGTGCTCGTTGTGAGATTTCTTCAGGGCCTGGCCTACGGATGCGACAGTGCCCTTGGCAGACAAACGAAAGAGAAAGTAGTGCGCAAAGTACGTTGGAGCAGCTACAGCTTGAACAATTCAAGCTGTTCAGTGAAGTACTGCGTCGTCGCTCTGTTTTTTCCTGAAGGTGTTCGTGTTGCAATCATGTCATTGAGCACTTCGGAGGAACGTGGCAGACAAGCTGGGGAAGAACAAAGCCATGTCGGATTACATCTGGAAACCGGTGCGCGTTGGTGTTCATGATGTTCGCAGAGTTTCGAGCACAGGAAGGCATGCCTGCAGTGCTTTTTTTTCACCCACAGCCTTTGTTTATTTAGCGTTGTTCAATTGTCTCTGCAGTTTTTGTTTGCATTTTGACTGTTGTGTGCTGTTGCGGCAAGCACGCCAGCGGCTCACAAGGCAAACTTGGGTTCTAAGAAAGCCTGGAACAGGGAGACTGTGAGGTCTCAATTTATACATAAACATATATTTGATTTCTTGTTTGGTTTCGCCCCGTTGCCCTCCCAGTTTTAGGAGTCGTATGCCTTCCTGGTCTAGTCGTGAGTTGCCCATCATCATCCAATGCACTTAGTCTCACTCACTGACACTCGTTCCCATTCAATGTCTCTCCCTTTGTTGGACTTCACACGCTGTTCTGAATTGTTTTCTCACTTGTTTGGTGTGTTTCCAAAGTTTGTTTCTTTTGGCAGACTTGCGTTTGTGGGAGTGCTCGGTTTTGTCTCTAGATTATTGGTTTGTAAGGACTCCCTCATGCTAGTCTACAGTTGAATTGTTGGAATTGTTGGTATTGCATGTGCACAAAAAAACAAATCAGGCTGATCTTGCAAAGCCCCGAACATGCAGTACATGATTGATGTGTTGTTTTTCGAAGGCAGCGCCACCATGAGCCAATGTTGCCATTTGTGCCGCCGTGCTTGGCTCAGTGTGCTGCAGCAATGTTACACAGGCTGGTCCAGCGAGTGCGATGGAATTACGTCCAGACCTTAGACACCGACTGCATGTGCTGTTGCTTCGGGATTCGCTGACAGGCGAAGCCGCCCGCGGAGCGCTCAGATGTTGCTGGAATTTTCATCATCGGCCGAGCCCTGTGCCGAATTCCCTTTGCCTCAAAAACGTGCTGCTCAAAATGGGAAGCGGAGCCCCTTTTAGATTGTGACGGTTTTTTCTTTTGGCATCCTTTTAGTGAAAGGGGTCCTCTATTTTGAGCAACCTCCCCCCTGTCAGGCCAACGAGTCCAATGATGCCAAGATTCTTGGACTGCAGGGAGTGAAAGAGCAAGCCCAGCGCAAAAGTTGGGCTGTCATGGGCTGCCGAGAGGTCTTGGACCCACATGCGATTCGATACCACTGGGTATATGCTTGACCCGCCTCCCGTGGTTCTTGGACATATTTCGCAGAGTACTTCAGTTGCTGGGCGGGGGGTTCCTTGGCGCTGTATGGGCATCCTTGTTGGGGCAAAGGATGGGACTGGTCGCCGAGGTCACTGAAGTCCTGCGTCCGGAAGGTGCAGGCAGATGCGAGCACAAGTTTGTGTGGCGCAATTTGGAAATATGCCCTATGGCCCCAATGGGCTATATTGGGGCGGGGGGGTGTCAGAATTTGCGGCCTCTTGGAAGTGTTATCTATGTTTGAAGGCACAAGTGCCTCTCTTTGTCGGGGGCAACACTTGGAAGCTTAGGTTTGCTGTAGTTACGCAAGTCCTTGGGGATCTCTGAAAACTTTGGTCGAGCTTGGAAGAAGTGAGATCACGCAGGGCCCCTCCCACTATGAGGAGCTGCAGAGGAGGAGCGAATCAATCCGAAAAGCCGTTAGGGGCCACAGGAGTGCTGGCATGCAATTGAAACTATCTGGTGGGTCTTTGGTTTCAACACACTGCTCTTCTGTCATCCGCCGCCTTTGCTTCATCAAAGGAACGTGAAAATAGACAGACCATCACAAGAGGGAAGCAATTGACGAAAGTGTGGGGCAGTGCAGGAGACTGCTGCAGAAACAGACAGGCATCGCGGAAGATCAGGCGGGATCTTGGGTTTGCGCTTTTGCGCTTTGGCACGCCTTTTCGGAAGCATTTAATCTAACCGTCGTTTCCTCCGTCGCTTGCACCACTCGTGTTTCCGGCTGAGCTGCTTGACGTCTTGCAATATTGTATCTTACAAGCGCGCTGGACAGAACATAGGAAGGACACAGAGCATGCAAACACACATGCACACACACACACACACATCCATCCCAAAATTCTTTTTGATAAGGCTGTTTTGAGGACAAGCAGACGGGATTTCGATCGATTTGTCTTTCTTTGCCATGACTTGTGGGCTGATCTCGTCAAGCGAGTCTCGGTTCTTTGTCTCGCATTTGTGCATGTCGCTTGCTTCTCTGAGTCCGTTGCAGGTGGCTATACATACCCACATTCTGGCGGCCGGTAAATCTCAGAAACCTTGGACGAAATGTTGTTGAACTCCTAGTGCATGGATTCGGCGTTTGGGCTTGCCCGTCCGCGGAAAGGTTCTATCATCTTTGATAGCAACCCCTTCCACGAAAGGTTCCAAGAGAGGGCAGGATTTTGCCCTGTCAATGTCCCTCAAATCTGCGGAGATTGAGAGGCCGCCAATGCGAGGGATTAACTTTCTCGTGGCACAGGCAACTCCTCCCACGCTGCTCGTTAAGGAGCTCAATGCGCGGAGACTCCAGCAGCAGCTTAGTCTACAAAGGGAACTCGCTGGGTAGTCTTTTTGTTTCCCTTTAAAGTAAGGCCATACAGGATACCCTCCAAAGATGACAACCCCACAGTTGGCTTCTGCGTCCAAAAAAGGGTCCATCTGGTTCTGGCACGCAGCACGAACACACACACACACACACACACATGAGCAACTGATAGAAGTTCTGAAACAAACAGGGGGTTTCCTTTGTGTTTCTCCTGGTTGTATCATGAGCCCGCAAAAACCAGGAGGCTCGGCCCATCAAATTTCCATGTGGACTTGCGGAGCTGGCTCGGGCCAGGAGCTGCCAGAGCCGACAGAGGCGTGGGTGGAGGCGACGCCTGTGTCTCCCAGGCCAGACACATGCCGGCCTTGCCTATGTTGTTTTTTGCCAGGTCTCGGCAAGTTATTATTGTCTTGCAAAAGTTTTGGTTTGTGACCTCACCCGTGAGGTCGAGCCCCTTCCTTCAATTTAATTAACTGCGGACCCGAACCTGCCAGGGGAGTGGCTGCGTTGGCTGAGGTCAAGTCGTCCCACTGTCAATGTAGGAGTACGTGAAACTGCAGGCGTTCGGATTGCTCTCTCTGCTGATGTGCCCACGGTGCAGAATTTGTCATGCGCAGCTTGAGCAGTTTGGATATGCATCATGTTGGGCTTGCAGTCAGGCCTTGCTTCTTTTGTTGTGGAGCGGGTTCGCTGGGCTACGTGCATCCTTGGCGGCCATCCACAGAAACTGGCTACTATGGTATGGGTTTGGTTTTGCTGTTGTGATGGGCTCTAGCATGTTTGTGCTCACCATTGTTTTGCGTGGTGCTGGAGGCTCGTCTCAAAGTTTTAGCCCGCAGTCGCCCATGCGAAGCCTGATGTTGGCGGTGATTGGAGTTGCTTCAGTAGGTTGTTTTGCAACTTGTCTGCTTGGTAAGGCACATGCCGTTCTCGGTCAGCCGAGGCCGTTAAGTGCGCAATGGCGTTGTGCAGAAATAGCGCGCCCCTTTTGGATCAGGACAGCTCTCTTTTGGATTGTGTTAAAAGGAAACCAACAAGTCTTCAAACCGTTATGCAGGGCTCCGTCTGTTTGGGATCCACTCCACTGAGAACAGAGGTCTAGCTTGGAGCGCCCAGCAACTATGTCGCATTGTCCTGGTGGTGAGAGGAGAAAGCTATTCTTGACATAGAGTGCGCAAAGACCTATGATTTAATGTTGGTTGTCGCCGGGCAAACAAAGCAACGATACCGTCCGTTGAGCAATTGCACGTTAATCTATTATTCTTGGAGTTCTGTTGCGGGCCACGTGCTCTCTTTTGGTGCGGGCTTGCTTTAACCATTTTGTGCGCTCCAGCCGTGGTCTCTGGAGAATTCTGCAATTTCCGTCATGTACCAGCACCACTGTGTGGAACAAGTTTGGAATGCAGAGGGTGGGCTGAGTATGCAAGAGGGACGAACGTGGCCCTGTGAGGCAGGATGAAAGTGGGTCCGCGATGTTACTAGGACCCATCGCAAACCGACTTTGGCTTTCGAATTTGCGGAGCTTATGTGGTCAGAACAAATAGTTCTGAATGATCGTGTTGGCTGATTCTCCTGATCCAGGAATACTCCTGCATGAAAAGTGTTTTCACTTTGGCCTTCACGTGCTCCTTTGCGCAAAAGTGAGCTAAACCTTACCGTAGGTGGGGCTCCCAAATCTTCTGCGCAGGCCGGGTGGTGTGGCCATGATCTTTAGGCCGGGGCCGACGTTGCCTTGCCGGATAAGTTGCCCGAACGGAAACTCCTGAATGAGTTTGTCTTTCTACAAGGAGATTCTTTTGCGATCGGGTATTTCTTGGTTGAGAGTTGACAGGCTTGCCATGTGCACTATGTACGCATGTCATGTGTACATAGTGTACATAGTGTACATAGTGTACATAGTGTACATAGTGTACATAGTGTACATAGTGTACATAGTGCACATAGTGCACATAGTGTACATAGCATGCACATAAGTAAGTAAATAAATAAATAAAACACAGAAACAAATAAATAAATGAATAATATATATATATATATACACATATATATATATATATACATGCATGTAATCAGTCTCCACATATGTATCTATTTCTCAGGCTGGGTCCCCAACCTCCGCTCCAGCCATGGTGGTATCCCTTTCGTGGGGTTGGTTCAGGATTGGAGGCTGAGGGTTGGATAGTTGAGCCTGAGTTTAGGCTGGGTTTAAAGTTAGCTGATGCCATTGGAGGGGGCTAGCGAACCTGAGACGTGGAGCATCGATCCCCTGCAACCCCACCTCGACACATGATGGTTGGACCCCACGACCCCACCCGGGGCTCGGCCGGTTTTGTGCAGCTTGGAGGCGGCGCACGATGAAGCTGCGACAGTGGCTGGGCGGAGCGCTGCGTCCATCCTTGGGGCCAGCCCTGGTGGAAGGCGATTTGGGTTTTCAAAATCGATGAACGGGAAACTAGGCAATCAACCATATTTCTTGCTTTTCATTTCAAGACACACCCAAATGGGAATCAGTCCACAATTTGTAGAAACTGCCATTCGGCTGGGTAGAGCATGGTTGGGTGAAATTAGATCGCACAGTCCCCCCAATTTCGGCAACCTGGTACCATCATCCCCCTTACCGACAGAAAGAGAACTGCGCCATGCACTCTCACGGGTTTATGGATGGAGGGATGGAAGGATGAAGCACTCCCACACTTAGAACTTTGCGAAGCACAGATTTGGAGGCAGGTTTGACAAGGCGCTGAGCCAGAGTTGACCTTTGGATGTGTCGGGGTGAGACGATAGTCGAAGTTCGCTACTTTCCTCAAATTGATACCCATCTCCAAAAAGGGTCCCCCAAAAGGATATTCCTCTAGACAAAGTGTGAAAACACTATTTTGCGGGAGACCAAATGGAGATCGACATAAGCAAGGGACCAAAGTAGCAGCCCCATGTTCAGTTGTCCAAGCATTTGCTTTTTGTGTGGACAAGTGGGCAGGTAGCAAAGATTGAGGTCTCTTGTGCTACAAGGCTGCGAGGAATTTGCAGGTCCTCCACAGATGCCTCTCTTGGTGAGCCTCCTATACAAGCCATACAAGCATAGCTGGCAGTTTAGGCGGGATTTGTATCAGAAGCCCAAAAGAGGCGAATTCAGTTTTACGCACAAATCTATGCACCTCAAACCCACAGCTTGAGAGAAGCCTTCAAAGATCCTGCATAGATCTAGCACCAATACGTGTGTGTGGTTGTCGGGTGTGTGGGTCAACCCGCGACCTTTTGAAGGATACCTTGGAATGTAATCTAAGCTGCCACATGTCAGCCGCCAAGACACTGACATAGGCAGGGCATGAATCTCATTCTGTCACGACTCACTGGAGTTTTCGCAGTGACAACCCAGGACTTTCCATCACCTTGAAACGAAGTCGTGGGGCCTTTGGTTTTCAGCGCGTGGCGTTTGACCCTCAGTTGAGCGAGCGACCGGGGCCGGCACTGGTGAAGATTCCTTGAGCCAGGCTTTGAAGATCCCAGCTCGGAGCCTCCGGACAAGCTGGAGGGGAAAGGGGGGAGAGAGGTCCCGTGTAGAAAGAAAAGCGGCCCTGGCCCCAAAGAACACCAGGCATTCCCAAGAGAGTAGCAAAGCAGTGCTCCGCGTGTGGGTTTTTGCCTCCTGGTAGGACTCGGAAACGCGGAACCACTTCTTGGCCGCGTTTCTCACGGGAGATCTCGAGGTGCTAGACCACTGCCTGCAGGCCAAAAGGGGAGGGGCTCGACCCAACTGGAAGTTAGCCGCACCCGCCTGGGTTCAGGCAGGAGGATGCCAGAATCGGCTCTTGGCATTGAGCAAGTTCAGACAGGTCTCCCCCGAGAGAGACAGGGGTCTGTTTGCAAGGATCTAGCGCCCATGAGACTTGTCATGTTACGCCGTTCTATTGGAAAGTAAGCCTGCTCCCAACACCCCACCTAAAACCAGCTCTGGACCCAACGTCCACCAAAACTGATCCTAATGCAGTATCCTGAATTTCCCTAAGGTCACTGTAATCCCCTCCTGAAGCAACCCTAAATCAACCCTAAACCCAACAGAAAGCCAGCGTGGATCAATTTGATTCACCCCAACCCAACCGCTAACCTCAAAACCAAATCAAGCCTGAGTCAATGCAAAGCGCGCGCCTATTCTAAACTCACGGTAAGCCCACCTTTACATCACGGGCTGAAACCCGTCCAACAATCTTAAACCCAACACATTTTCACCCGATGGCAATTAAGTATCTACACTCCTACCTCATTCGCATTCCAAACCCGACAGAAACCCAGACTAAGACCAGCCACTCAAACAAGACGTGCTTTCGGGCTAACATTGGCTTCCTGTAGGCTCAAACTTGACCTTCCGACGGAACTCGGCTTTCCATACCCATAGGTCAGAGTGGGCAATTCCGAGCTGTCCAGAAAGAATCAGCTCATAGCCTAATAAGATTAGCTTCCTGCCAAGTTGGCTTCCCGATCAACCTGCCGAACGCAGGAAGACACACACATCCCGCCGAACTTGGAAAACATACTTCCGCAAACAAAAAGAAAAAGAAAAAAAGAGCAACATGCCTGTTCGAACGTTGGCACTTCGACTCGCTTGTGCAAGTTGTCAAGGCAATTCGTGGGTCAGTTGGGTCCTTCGCAGGATATATTTTTTGACTCGCCTGTTGTCCCAACACGTTTGCGTGCAGTGCACATGGCAATCGTTTCTCTTGCACGACACATATCCAAGCTGCCTGTGACGCTAGGCCTGCGCCAGTCAACATGGCCAGCGCGCGTTCGTTGCCATGGCCAAGGCAGGGGAGTTTGTCGGCTGACGGCTTTGCAGGGTTAGGGACTGGCTTTGGTGGACGAAGCCGTACATGCAGCGCCTATCCTTTTGGCTACGGAAGGACAAACTGGAAAACCAGTTGTGCAATTCTGGGCTTGGATTATTCGCTTGCTTCTCTCGGCTGAGTTTGGTCACCTGTCAGGAGGGCGAGATCACCCTGGCCCAGTGGCTGCGCGTGTTTCGAGCGACCGCGATCAAGAAAACCCTCCAGGCAGGGCTAAGCGCTATGTTTTTTTCTTCTTCTTGTTTTGCGGCTGGGTTGAGCTGGAAGACGCTGCTTGCGTTGAGTTGACTAGATCCAAAATGACCAGCAGGCCCGGCGGCATGTGTTCAGAGCACCATGTGCTTTGCCCTGGTTGTGCATGTTGCTCATGTGCTGTCTTAGGTTGCAAACGCTTGCGCACTTGGGAGGCTTTCTATGATGAGGCCCTCTTGTTGCGGGCGAGAGCAGTGTTTGTTTGTGTGTCAAGCCTGTCTCAAGCTTGTTTTGCCAGCAGGGACTTTTGATCCTGAATGTTTTACTCCAAACAGGTACCCAAAAAAACTCATCGACGCATAGGAATAACTTAGATAAGTTAATAGAAAGACAAGTAAAGGATTCAAGGATAAACACATAGATACGGCAAAACTCAATATTCATGCGAACACACCTGCAATCGAATACCAAAATAGATTGCGAGATCCATGAACACACATTGATAACCACGAATCAACTAGAAAGCCAAACTAACAAAGTTGATACACTCATCCAATGAATTGATCAATCTAGATATCTAGATGGATATACAGATAGATAGACTGATAGATAAGACAGACAGATAGATTAGATACTGTACTTTAGATTGTATTATATTGCGCTGGACCAGATTAGATTAGAGTGGATCTGGATTAAACACTACATTGCATTGCCTAGCCGAGATAGCTAGATAAGATAAGACAAGACAAGACAAGAGAAGACAAAACAAAACAAACGTTGATAGGTGGATGGATGGATAGATAGATGGATAGTTATATCGACCATGAACAGCACATGAATCATTCAACAGATAACATCGATCACTCCACAGATATTTCAGGTTGACACTTTGACACATAAAGAACACTATTCATGAATAGGCGCATAAAAGCGTAGCTCTTCATTATGCATGTTTGCACTCAGTCATACATGGACATAAGACATACATACCTACCTACCTACCTACCTACATACATACATACATACATACATGCATACATGCATGCATACATACATACATACATACATACATACATACATACATACATACATACATACATACACATACATACATACATACATACATACATACATACATACATACATACATACATACATACATACATACATACATACATACATACATACATACATACATACATACATACATACATACATACATACATACATACATACATACATACATACATACATACATACATACATACATACATACATACTAAACAACTAACTAGCTATCTAACTAGCCAGCTAACTAGCTAACCAACCAGCTAACTAACTAACTAACCAGCTAATTAACTAACCAACCAACTAACTAACTAACTAACTAACTAACTAACCAGCTAACTAACTAACTAGCTAACGAACTAACTGACTAACTAACCTAGCTAACTAACTAACTGACTAACCAGCTAACTAACTAGCTAACTACCAGCCAACTAACTAACTAGCTAACTACCAGCCAACTAACTAACTAACTAACTACCTAAACCCAACCCAACCTAACGTAACCTAACCTAACCCAACCTAACCTGACCGAAGTAACTAACTATCTAACGAATCTACGCGCATACATGTATATGGCACCCCCTCTCCCAGAAACCTTCCTTTTGAAGTATCCACTGGTGTTTGCGGCGTTTTCTGTCTTGTTTGGGGCTTTCGGGAAAGCAGTGAAAATGAGGTATGTATTCCGGAAGCTTCAAGCACGAGCGAAATCGATTGAAACCGATTTGAATTTAGATCGGGCCTGGATTCACGATTGGAGATTCAAGAACCCAGGCCAAACTTTTGCACGGAATCTTGAATCCAGGCCCGATTGAAGGTCAAATTGGTTTCAATTGGTTTCAATCGATGCCGAGATTCAAAATTGTATGGACAACCTGGATCTTGAATCTTGAATACGGGGAGTTCCTTTCCACATATGATGTGACAATAGCATTAACTAGTAGAGTATGCAAAGAGTTCAAGTCGACTTCTATCTTCAACTTACATTTGAACGAAACATCGAACTTAACAAGGGAATCAACTATGTTTACTATTTAATTAGAATTGTGATAAAATTGAAGAAGGACACACATGCACTTGACATTCTCTTATAGAAATTTAGTAGGACTTCGAACGTTAGTTAAAGTTAGTTGCAATGTATATGGATTTTGAGTGTCTATTTCGATTGAGAATTTAAGCAGGCACTCCATTCTAAACAGGTTTTGAGGCAAAGTTAACTGCAATTTAAATGGAGTTTCATAAGTCCCCACATAGACTTTAGCTTTTGGCTACACACTATGCTACAGAGGTAGATCATAGTGTATACACGCATACATAATATATGGATACATGTAGATATATGTATATATATATGATATATGACAACTATTGTTCAGTGATGCATGGCTTTTCGTGCTCATTCTATCTCGGGTTTTCGATCTTTCGTAGCCAAGTTTGCAGCTTCGTCCTCTTGTTGAAAAGCGCCGGTGGGACTTTGCCCAGGAGTTGGGAGACTGCTACGAGGAGGAGTCTGGCGGTGGGGGGGGGGGAAGACCCGGAAGGCGGACAAAGAAAGGTTCTTTTTGCTTACGTAGCACCGGCTCGGTTCGGTAAGTTTGGCCGGTTGGTCGTTCGCGTCGGTTGGCTTCTTGGTTTCTTGGTGTGGTGCCGAGCTGATGCTGAGCCGAAGATTTCCAACGGGAAGACCAGAGAGGACTGTGGGAGGGAAGTTGGATTCGCACCTTGTACCCTCTTGGCAGTCATTCTTGACCATTTTCAGGGTGGGTTGTTACTTTGGCTTACTTTGCATTTATTCGATTATTCACCAGGTGCCGGACATCAACGCTTGCCCGACCGATCACATTGACATGTGCACAACGGCGCCGCCATTTCCACATAGGCTTCATATGATGCGCGCCTGCATTCTCAGTACAGGCCCAGTGCAATCTCAATCTGTTGTGATATGGCTTGGTGACATTCGGCTACTCAGGAGCGGAAGGCCCTCTATTGGGGTAACTGCGGACGTAATACATCGTCCGAGCCGAATACGTGGTACGTGGATATTGGGCATTTTTTTTTTTTTTTTTATAAAAGGAATGCCAACCCTTTTGCTATTTTTTTGGGCGGGGGGGGGGGGAGTTTTTCGGGTTTGGTGGGGAGTTCCGCTTGGCTTTCAGCGCTAGCGGTTCGAGGAGAGCCTCCAGCGCGCCTTCCTGCTGCTCCAGCGGCTCACAGCGCTGCCCAGGCCGCTGGGTTTCGAGTCTTTTTTGTTCAGCTTCCCCTGAGTTGGTCCTTTGGTTTGGTGGACGGGGGGCTATCCTTTTCCATTTGGTTGTGAAAAGGAACCCGGGTTCAAATCCCAAAGTATTAAGGGGAAGCTGATTTGTTGTGATGGTTTTTTGCTCGTAATGATTCGGGCAGTCCTTGCTTGGTGTTTTGGGTTGGAGGTTTGGGGGATTCAGTTTTTTGCTTCGTGTAGAGGGTATTTGGGCACCACCCCCAAACCGCCAAACCACCAAAACGAAGCACCTGGGGTAAAGGAAAATAACCTATTCAAACCGTGGTGCAAGAAACATGGAGTTGGATTGCGAGGATTTTCAAGCATGTATACAAGCAGGTTTCCTATACTAGGGAAGAACCAGGATGGTTTGGTACTTTGAGCCAATCTCTCCCAACCCTGGCCCCGGTTTGGACATGCAACTTGCAGTTCCCATGCACAAATTTCTCCTTGTTTCTTGTCTCCTTTCTCCTCTTGCTTTCTCTCAACTCGTCTCTTCTCCTCTCTCCTCTCTCCGCTCTCCTCTCTTCTCTCTCCTCTGTTCTCTCTCCTCTTTCCTCTCTCCTCTCCGCTCTCCTCTCTCCTCTCTCCTCTCTCCTCTCCCCTCTCCCTTCTCCCCCCTCCCCTCTCCCTTCTCCCTTCTCCCCCCTCCCCTCTCCCTTCTCCCTTCTCCCCTCTCCCCTCTCCCCTCTCTCTCCTCTCTCCCCTCCCCTCCCTTCTCCCTTCTCCCCTCTCCCTTCTCCCTTCTCCCCTCTCCCCTCTCCCTTCTCCCTTCTCCCCTCTCCCCTCTCCCCTCTCTCCTCTCTCCTCTCTCCCCTCTCCCCTCTCCCCTCTCCTCTCTCCTCTCTCCTCTCTCCTCTCCTCTCTCCTCTCTCCTCTCTCCTCTCTCCTCTCTCCTCTCTCCTCTCTCCTCTCCCCTCTCTCCTCTGTTCTCTCTTCGCTCTCCTCTCTCCGCTCTCCTCTCTCCTCTCTCCTCTCTCCTCTCTCCTCTCTCCTCTCTCCTCTCTCCTCTCCCCTCTCTCCTCTGTTCTCTCTTCGCTCTCCTCTCTCCGCTCTCCTCTCTCCTCTCTCCTCTCTCCTCTCTCCTCTCTCCTCTCTCCTCTCTCCTCTCCCCTCTCTCCTCTGTTCTCTCTTCGCTCTCCTCTCTCCGCTCTCCTCTCTCCTCTCTCCTCTCTCCTCTCTCCTCTCTCCTCTCTCCTCTCTCCTCTCCCCTCTCTCCTCTGTTCTCTCTTCGCTCTCCTCTCTCCGCTCTCCTCTCTCCTCTCTCCTCTCTCCCCTCTCCTCTTTCCTCTCTCCTCTCTCCTCTCTCCTCTCTCCTTTCTTGCAATTTTGCACGTGGCAAGAGAGATCTAGTCCCTTCCTCCCATTGTCATAGGCAAACCGGGACGCCTGACTCGCCCACTCGCGCGAAGTCGCCAAGCTGTCTCCGAGCCAGGCAGCAGATCGGTGAGGACCGCCCGGAGCGGAGCCGTGCAGAGCGTCCAGGCGGGGCTATGCACGCGTCAAGTTGGGTCCCCGCTGAGATGTCTCACCCCAACCTGCAAGACCTCCCAAAAAGTGCGTCGAGAACCGGAACATTGCTTCGGGGGACATCCAGCGATCAGTTTCCCAAACCAGCAGTCAATGTCCCCTTTCTGTTGGGATCCGGTGGCGAATGGGATTCTTGCATTTTTTTGGTGTGCACCGACCTCCCAGCTTCTTTTGGCATACTTGGAATTGACGGGCAGGTGGCAAGCGCTCCATGCCGGTGGTGATTTTCACAGACTTTGAGGACCGCATGTTCAGCTCCGAGCGTCCAGGTGTGTTGATGTGTCAAGGGTTCCAGGCGAGCCACTGTCATTTTGGCTCACGTAGCTCTCCGTAGTGCCACCATGACTGCCCTGGCCTTCCTTGAGATCAACGTAGCGCTGCTGCGCTGCTTTGCCTCGGGGCTTTGGAGTTTGCGGAAGTTGCCCCATGAGCTTTGGACCTCCAGCGAGGATGCCGTCATCACTGTCTCACCAGAGGTGAGGAAGGAGTACGAGCAGAAGATCCAGACTATGGGAAACATGGTCCGCGAGAACAGCCCGGCAGAGTACAACCGCGTCTCCACGCACACGATGCTTGTGCTGCAGCGCGTATTGTGGATTGCTGTGGCGACCGTGACCACGGACATCCGACTCTTCTGGCTGGCCGGCTCCCTGCAATTCCTGGTGGCGCCCTACTCGCTCGCTGTGTCCTTCATGATGTTTTTCGCATTGTTCTGCACGCTGTGTGCTGGTCACCTGGTTTCCGTGTTGGTTCTTCACTTCTTGCCGCTGTCGTTGCTACCGAACTTCGAGCTAGAAATCAGCAATACGTCCATTGCCTTCTTCATGGCTCTTGACTTCCTGGTGACCAGCTACTACGCGCTGGTGGCGTGCAGCGACGGAACTCCCAAGAGGAGCTCCGTTGGCCAGAATGCGCGGAACATGATCTATGGCACCTTCAATGGCCGCGGCTATGTGCTGCTGCTTCTGCTGATCTCCAGGGGCTGTAAGATCAGCCTCACTTGGATTGCCGCTGACGCCCTTTTGGGAATCTCTCCCTGGGTGAGCAACTTCGTCCAGGACAGCTTCCTTTGCTGGGAGACCGTGATCTATCATGTTCACCGAATGGGCCACCTGCCGGTTGTGTACGAGCACGCGCATCGCATCCACCACTACCTGCCCGACGGCTCTGCCTGGGATTCCCACATCTTCTCGGGCGCGGGTTTTCCGGAGGACTTCTTCTACTTGCTGCAGGATGTGTTGCTGGTGCGCTACGCTGGGCTGCCTGCGCCCTGGATGACCTACTGGCTCCTCAAGTTCCAAAGGCTCAACAAAGACGCGCACCAGCGCCGGGACGCCTCGTATAAGTACGAGCAGTACCATCAAGATCATCACCTCTACCATCGGGTGAACTTTGGCTTTAACAAGCCCATGTTGGACCTGGTCTTCGACACTTACAAGGCCACCAAGAAGGAGTGGCTTGACTTTGGAGACGCCAGCTACAAGAAAGAGCAAGGCGCAGATGGCAGCATCATCATCCATATGAAGGTCCAGAAGCGGCCCTTTCCCTTGGGATCGCGGCAGAACTTCGCGGGCTGGCAGAAGGCTTTGATGAGGCTCATGGTGTAGGGGATGTGGCGACCTGACCGGCCTGACCGGGACGCCGAGGCCCTAAGCTCGATGTGATGATCGACTTACGGGTTGTGCACATGATCAAATTTTGAGACAGGGTCGGGTGTGCTCTTTGATTTGCGCGTGTGTAAAGACAGACATTCACGCAGCAAAAGTTGGACACTTCGGCGGTTCTGTTTAGAGCTCTCCGCTTTTCAGATGTACAGAGCCTCTCCGCAAGTGCCGTTTGGCTCGGCCCTCTTTTCCCCGAGCCGGGCGCTGGCCCGCGAGCCGAGCGCGGAGGACAAAAACCAGCGAGCCAAGCCGATCCAAGACAACAGAAAGCCGCGCCCCTCAAATCAAAAAGCGCAACATGAAGTCTCCTCGGCAGTTTCAGCTGGAGACTCCGCATCCGCGCATCCGGGCCGCCGTGGTTTCCCCCCCCCGCCCCGCCTTTCCGCGGACTGTGCGGCAGGAGGCGCGGCACCAGGTCTTCTGGTCCGAGGCGTTGGCGCAGCGCCTGGTTCGCGGAACTGCGGCGGAGGCCGTTTTCGGAGCGGGGGGGGTTGGGGGGGGGGGGTGGGGGGGGGCAGGGTGGGGGGGGTGGGGGGCGCCAGTCTTGCAAAGGACAGAAGATGATGGGTGCTTTTTTCATTTCTTTGGAACGAGCCCCAAAAGGCGACCAACTCGAGAAACAGCATTGTCCATTTCACCTTCTGGACAAGGACTGATACCCTACTCATCGATTTTCTGCTTGACTATTGGGCGAAAAGTCCAAAACTCAAACTCCAGAAGATTCCTCAAGAGGTGCAGTGGAAGGTGCCGCCTGTCTGTTTTTGGCAGCGAGCTTCCACTTGGCCAGTTGAACACTTGGAAGATGGTCTGGCTGAAGATGCAATTTTTCTTGCCAAGTGGTAGCCTAGTTGTTCAGCCTCAGTCTTCTTAGGAACTCCAACAGTTCTTCCCAGGATCCGTTTGGACTGGCCAAACACCTCGAGTGTTCGTTGGTCGCCCGCGAGGCGTTGGGCCGTGAGAGCGTCAGGCGGGATTTTCTGCATACGCGAGCGGCCATCAGCATCACGGGTCAAGCTGTGGTCCCTAAAAGTGAACACCTTGAGGGATTTGAGGGCTTGTGAAAAGGAGTTCTAAGGTCGTTTTCCTTGAAACCCCTGTTTACAGGAAGAGTGAACCAGAAAGTAAGATGGGCTGTGGATTTTTGATGGGGACCACCCTTAAGCACGGTTGGTGGACACGGATCCCCATGTAAATGTTGTCCAGCAAAGGATCACCAATCAAATCCATACTCACTTGGGGAAAGGTTTAGCAGGACTTGTTGATTGTAGTGCTCTTTAGCTCTTTAGGTCACCTTTTCAGCAGTTGTTGGTATGCGAGCTTCTGGTTTTCCTCGTCGGCCATGGGTGTGTCTCCAGATGGGAGAACCGCAAACGGGTGAATGTTGCTGATGGCTTGAACACTGAGACAACTGGCATGTAGGCCAGACAGGGTCTTGCATGCCAGTAGTTCTGCATGTGTTTGGCATAAGTTGCTAGGATTATTTGGCTACAGCAGTTGAATCAGCAAACCATCAGCTAAAACATCTACCCCCGACGGAAAATCCATTGTTCCAAAAAAATGCGAGTTGGGAGGTAGCCAGTTTGTTTCAATATGTTTAGTGTTGTGCTTCATGTGTCGTACGAGCCAAAATCAATCCCTGGGTAGATGAAGGACAGTAAGAGACAGTCCCAACACAAAGTAGGTGCGGCCACCCTTTGGATTCTTGACACTTTTTTGGGTGGACCCTGAGCTACTTTGGATGTTGATTCCGATTCAGGTGCCCCTTGTCACGAGCCCTGGTTGCCAGTCGCGGGGGTTGGGCCTCGCGCGGTTGCACCCCCGAACGAGCTGAGCGGAGGGCACAAAAAGTGGACCGTACCGTGGATGCCCAAAGACAGCAAGTTTATCAACAGACCATTCGGTATTTACGACCCTAGTTCCCTTGTGATATTTCACAAGGATGAAACCCGATTTGAAGACTGGGATGAAGCACAAGTCCCGGCGCGAAGCGGATTGGATGGACATATAAGAGTGACATACTGAATGCCAGGCGCCAACTGACGCAAAATTACATGAACCAGTCGCAGTACCAGTGCCCGTATTTAAGTCCACATATACCCTACAACACCACAAGCCGCACACCAGTCGCAATGAAAACCCGTTCTTTTTTATCCGTCACGTTTTTTTTGTTCTTCTTCTTTTTTTCCCTAGGGGTGTCAAGTGAGTATCCGGATGTCTCACTTTTCGGTGTGTTTCTGACACCTCAGCGGGTCAGGCGGGCGCTGCCGGAGACGCTGGCCAAGGCGCTGGATGGCCTCAGCCCCGCGCTGCGCCTTAGCCGGGCGGCGGCGAGGCACTGCCAGCGAGGCGCGCGCGCTCCGCGCGCGCTCCGCGCTTTTTCGCTGCGGCGGGGGAGGGCGGGGGTCCGGCTTCGAGCGGTGGGGTTTGGAAAGCGATGTTTAAGGAGGCGATATTTGGTTTGTGAAAGATCTTGTATGACTTGAGGGCACCTTGTTAGTTGTGTTCCGGTTTTTACTTGGATTATTGCTTGTTTTACTATTGAGTGTATGCATGATTCACGTTTTGTTTGTTTTGGTTCTTTATTTTGTAACTTGTTGCTTATTTGGCTGTTGTTGTTTTATGTTTTTTGTTGTTTTTGTTTTTTGATTTCTGCCTTTGTTGTTTGGTATTTGTTTACCATTTGTTTTGTATTTGTGTATGCATCATGTGTTGTGTACCGTTTTTTTTTTTTTTTTTTTTTTTTTTTTTTTTTTTTTTTTTTTTTTTTTTTTTTTTTTTTTTTTTTTTTTTTTTTTTTTTTTTTTTTTTTAATTTTTTTAAATTAAAACTTTGTTTTTAACATTTTTTTTTTGTTTTTTTTTTTTAACTAAAAACTTTTGTTTCCTGTTATTATTGCTGCTCTCGTTATTGTTGTTATTATTTGTCGCTATTTGCGGATTTGTTGTCTATTATTTGTTTGTTACCTGCCTGCCTTTTGTTTGTCATACCTTTGTCCTGTGTATGTGTTGTTTTGCGCGGCTGACTTTTTTGGTTCGCTAAACGTTTATTGTTCGTTTGTCATGTGTTTGTTATCTTTTTTTCTTCTTATGTTTTTTTCTTTGGACTTGGCTTACCTTTCAACTATTTGTTTGTCTAACATTTGTCCATTATCCTCGGTGATCCATTAGCAAGGCCAGGGTCCCTTTCTATTTGGGGGGCATGTCCAAGTAGGTGCGTGCAGGTGGCAAGAGTAAGCAGCCGGGGTAAGACACCAGTGGAATCCATCAATGTTGAACCCTACCTGAAAGGATGCCTATGTCCAAGTAGATCCCTAAACGGAGGGACACCTCTTGGAGGTATGAAACAACAGCCGGCAAAGGGGTGAAGTTGTGGGAGCTCCCGGCCGCAGGACCGAGCCTGATGTCATCCATGATGTTTAATGACTTTATTCTTGTATCGTGTGTGATGCGTACAAAGTAGTCAACAACACAAACAACAGCATTTACATATACATCACGTTACCTTACCTTACGTTACCTATACATCACGTTACCTTACCCTACGTTACGCTACACTCGTTGAACAACATCACACCAGGCACCATACACCATACACCATACAGCCCTACACCCTACACTCGACACCCTACACCCTACACCCTACACCCTACACCACACCACACCACACCACACTACACTACACATTGAAACCATATATTTACTTCTACATATCTACATCCATCTACAACATATACACACGTCTACATATACAGATACATACATATATATATATATAGGTATGATTTCTCGCATGCCCAGGCCTCTTCCAACAGGCGGGCCAGGAGCTGAGGCTCCTGTGGGCCTTGAGCGCTCTGGAGCCCCTGGAGCTGGCGAGCTCTTTGGGCGCGGCGCGGCACCTGGGCGCCGGCCCCGGGAGTCGAGTCGACGAGTCGAGTCGAGGCGGTGGTCCCTTTTCGGGGGTTGGCTTAAAGGGGAAACCCGAGGCAACGCACAACTTGGGAAGAGGTTGGAACCCCCCAAAATAAGTTGGAATTGGTTTGGCCTTGCTCAAAAGTTGGAACCCCCCTGTGTATTTTTGGACGGTTTTTAAGCGGACACACACACACACACACCATTTGGGGGTCCCTATTTTGAGGAAAGAAAATAATGATCCCCTGTCTTAGGGTGCCCATTTCGGGGTCGACTCGCAACTAGAACCTGAAATTGGACGGGTTCCCCCTTTACAGGCCCAACAAAAGGGGGGATAAATTCTCCAAATCTGGGGAAGCTTGCTGATTAGGGAGAAAACGAGCTTAACTAAGTCCTCGTCGTTTTGGGAGATTCTTGATTTATTTACGGCAAATTAGAACAAGTTGAGCGGGACCAGGAAAGCGATGCTTTTCGGTGTTTCCAGAAATGGGGGGACGCCAAAAATGAGTTGCGGCTTCCTTTTGGCGTCATTTGGAAAGAGCAACCCAAGACAAAATGGGTTCTTCTCGTGAGTTTATGTACCTGAGCATCTGCGGCAAATCGATTGCCCAAAGACATCCCTGCAGCGAGGCTACGTCATCCGCTGCGCCGCCAGAGCCATCCTGGCGGAAGGCATGGACAAGAAAATTGGGCACGGCGGTTGCTTTCGTGGGGCCCTTGGTTTAGTTGCCCCCTTACTGTTTTTGGACGGTTTTTGTTTTTAGGTGCCCTTTCCCCACGGCCACTGGAATCTGGGAGTTTGGGCGGTTCTGAATTTCGCGCGGCAAAAGGTTGCAAGACAAACGAGTGGATATGGAGCGTGAAGGATCGGCTGGAACTGAAGTGCGTTTCCCTTTTCTCGTGATTTCTGGTCAAATTCACGGCGTGTGGGCTACGTAGCCCCTCTGCAGACTCTGAGTCGACAAACGGCGTAACTTTTCAAAGTTAAGGCCCAAATCACATAGCAGAGGTGCAGTGCGCCAAAAGCCTTGGCCAGCTCTTGGGTGGAAGGGGGTCGAGCGCCTGATTGGAGGCGCCGACCCCGCTGCGCCCTGCGCTGTGGATGAGGAGGAGACACTGCTGCTGGCTCTGAAGCTGGCACAGGAGCTGCATAGACAGAGGCACCACATGAAGGAGACCGCCCGGATCGCGGTGAGAGGGATCTTTTTAAAATGGTCAATCGTGGGTCTATTTGGTGTTAAACTAGGTCTGGCATTTGTCTCACGTTGCCAGGCCTGAGCTACAAAACGCCTCCCTGCATCTTGGATGCTCAGTTGGCTGCTCATTGCATTCTGGTGAACGCAGCTGAAGCAAGCACGGATGCCATTGCAGAACGGCCATTCAAAATACTGGAGATGATGTGAAGCGACCAGAGGCTTCGAATACCATGACAGCATGTAGGCCAGCGGTGAAGGCGCCAGGCGCCGTCCCTTCGCGGAATCTCCGACTCCTTTTGAAATGCCTGGCTGCACGTTGGTCCCCTTTCATCACCGTCCCCTAAAAGGATTGACTAGCTTTGATAGACACTCTCATAGGTTGAGGATGGCTGGGCGTTTGTCAGATTGGTTGAGCGCTTTGCTAAACATGAATATAGTCCCACCGGCGGCTAACCAGAATCACATGTTTTAACCCAATATGGACCCTGAAAGGTATGGTTGATGACCAGATTGTAGTATTGAGCACGTTTAGCGATCAAGGTGCCATAGTTGCAGTCATAGGCTGTTTGCTGACATGTTGACATGGCTTTGGAGGCACAACTTTTGGTTGTTTAGGCGTGCGCTCAAAAGGTTGCGTCAGAAGTTCAACCCCAAATAAATGACGACGATGTCATGCTGGCTTGCCGTCGGAAGGAGCCACACTTTTGCGAGTATCGCTGCTTGCTTGCTTGCTTGCTTGCTTGCTTGCTTGCTTGCTTGCTTGCTTGCTTGCTTGCTTGCTTGCTTGCTTGCTTGCTTGCTTGCTTGCTTCCTTCCTTCCTGGTTCAAACCGAAGAGCAGCATAGTCATTTGGCTTCTTTTTGTTCATGTTTTGACTGTTTTGACAGGCACCCAAATGTGTCGCGTCCGGTTTTCGGGCAAAAGCGGCTTCCGGGCCCCCCAACTTCGAGGAGCCGCCGGCTTCGGACTCGGCGCTTTTCGGGGCTCTGGAGCCGCGGTCGCTGGTGCTGGCGCTGGCGGTGCTGGGGCCGTTGCTGGACCGAGAGCTCGTGACCCGCACCTCGAATGCCGGAGCGACGGGAGTGTGGGGATGGGAAGGGGTCATACACCGCCAGGGGGAGGAGGGGGGGGGACCGCGGGACCGCAGGGGCAAGGAAGCCTTTGACAAATGAAGAGGCAATCGCAATTGGGATCCATTGGCGTCCGGAGGATTCTGATGAGTCGGGGCGTGTCGACATTGTATTGTATTGAGTTGGACCCCTAGGCAGGCATCATTTACATTTTTACGTCCGCCAACCATATTGGAGGGTCTTCCAATGAGGACTATAGCCATGTTAGGGGCCCTTTGGGGGAAAGGAGGCCAAAAAGGGTCAACCTCATCCTGCCAAGCTTCGTGGTTTGAGAGGGAGGGGGGCGAGGGGGTGTAAAAACGTGCCTTTGTTTAAGTGAAAAAACCGCTGGCCAGCGTCTCGGGGTGTCGAGGGGGGGAGCAGCTCTGCGGGCCGGAGCTTTGGCAGCGCATCGCCTCGCAGCTGCTGGGCGCTTGGCAGCTGCTGGAGGCCTCGATGTAGCTGAAGCTGTGAAGCTGTGGACGTGGGACACACATTGGCGACTTCGGAAGTTTTGAGGGAAAGCGCAGGCCTATTCTGAGCTCGAACGCTTTCTCAAAGCTTGAGGGGTGAGCCGGGGCAATCTCTTGCACCTCACCGTTTATGGTTGCCCAACCACAGACCGTCCTGTTTGTTTAAAAGACCTCTTGAGTTGTTGAAGCAACAGTGGGATTTGAAAGAAGCACGCCAGCACAAGAACAAGCAGTGGGAATCTTGCTCGACCCACACCAAGAAACTCAGAAATCGCGGACTCACGTGCACGCATCAGCGCACTCAACCGCAAACCCGGCATTCAGCCACAGCTTCCCAAGCAGAGCGCTGGCACGCAGCCAAAGGGTTGCCAACGTAAATGGTAACGCCAAAGGGTTGACAACTGTGCGCATGCCCACCTTGCTGTCCGCCATTTCCGCCGCTTCCAAGCACTCGTGAAGGGAGCCGAGGGCTGTCTGCGTATAGAGTCCACCGAGCGAACAAAAGGACTTGGGAAGTGGAAGGCTTGGCTCGTGAACTTTTCAACAAGTTGGACCCTTTCGGTCACAAAGTTACCCAGCAAAGCAGGGTGTCTCACAGTTTGGAGACCCCCAAATGGCTGTGGGTCAAAACCAATGGTACCATTTTGGGGTAGCTGCACCACCCATTTTAGTCTATTCTATTGGGGATTGGGATGACTGGGGGTACGGGATTTTGACCCATGGCCAAATGGGGACGGCTGGCTTGAGTCTCAACCAAAAACTACAGGGTTCGAACTTGCGGGAAGCTGCCAGGACCTGCCCGGCGCCGAGCTGCGGCCTCTCATGGCCGACCTGGCGCGCCTGGCGGGCCACTGGGCCTGATCCACGGCGGGCTTTTTGAGGCAAAGCGATCGGAGAATCCGATCCCAGTCCGAGGTCAAAGGGTTTCGGGTCAAATTTTACACTTTGCCCCGAAAGGGGGAGCCTTCTGTGGTCGTGATTTTGGCCCTTTCCCTGACTGAGGGGAACTCTCAAAAGGCCAGCCCCTTCCGTTGGGATTGGAAAGGCTTCCGGTTCCAAGACAGTAGTAATGACGTGTCCGATACAAAAAGCTGACCAAATCGCGGCTTATCCGAATGGCTGCGTACCATCAAAATCCCAGGGTTGTTCAAAACCAGTCCTTCATTCTGCGACAAGGTAGTGTTTCCCATGTAGTTCCTACTCTGGATTGCGGATTGTGATTTGGGATTCCCTATCCTAAACAGCCCGATCAACCAATAGCCGTTTTTGATGGAGGCTCATTTTGGTTGTGGAAAATGATAAGAGGAGATTCTCTTGAGGGTTCCTGCTTTCGCATCTTTCTTTGTATGGCTTGATTTGGGTCTGACAAATTGGATGCCTGGGAGCCTGCATTTGATCGATTTATGGGTCCTTTAGTGGTGATCTTGGCGCTGATGACCTGATTCTGGTGAAAGTATTAGTTCATGTCACGGTCCCATGCGTTCCGATTCCGGGATGCGTTGCTGAGGCCTCGCCCCGCCTTGGGTACACGCTGGCCAGGCGTGGGATACGCTCCGCGGACACTTGGGAAGCTGGGAGTGCTGCGTACCGGGCCTAAAGCGAACCCGCGAGGCGCCTTTGGCGCTGCGGGTGGCGGCGGCGGCCAGTGGCAGCCATCAGGCGCTGAAGCCCATGGAGTGTATTTTTGCTACCCGCGCAAAAGGGCGAGCATCCGCAAAAATGCCAGGAGCATGGTTCAGGTTCCGGAGTGGTTGCTTGCACTCTTTTGCGTTCTTGGCCCATTTGCATGTTCGTATGCGTAGTTGCCATGGGCCAAACATGCCCACCCTACACTAAAACACTGTGTTCTCCCAGACAGAAGATACACATGCGCGAAACCTTTGTTTCAATCCACACAATCTGCTGTAGAAATAGATGGGCAATGTAACAACTGTGAATCATACAACACAACTATTACATGTTGCTGAATATGCCAGACACGTCGTAGTACTGGGCTGGACATGTACCGGACCCATGCTCGAAGCTTGTTGGACGTGTGCTTCGCAAACAAAAGTAGCATGTCAATGGGCCAGGAATATGCTCTAAATACCGCAGAACCATGCTAGACGCTGGATGTAAGATGTGACCTTGCCAGAACTTGACAGCAGACGGTTTGCTAGACATGCCTAACACTTGTAGGGGACGTCTTGCATAGGATTGGGATGTATCCAAACTACCTCTTGCGCGTCAGGCAGGTGTTTCGAACATGTCTAGCACCTGCCTAGCAAACGCATTGGTTATGTCTTGAATCCTTCTAGAGAACATATCCAATAATTTACCAGGCACATGTGTTTTTCCTCCTGATGTTTACGGGTTTGCTGGGTTGGTTGAGGCAGTGCGTGTGCAAAATCCTCCGAGCACCGCAGGTCGCAGAATCTGATCGAACACATACACAACACTTCAGCTCACACACACACAGAGAACAATAGAAGAATGGCAACTTCAAACCTCTGCACTTTCACAGGCCCCGGAATTTGATTTGCGTACCATTTTTCCTCAAACGAAGCAACTGAGAGGTCCTAACGCATATAACTTACGTCCGGCCCGGTACAACCGGATTCGCAAGGCCAAGCTGAGCCAACACCTGGTGCGGCCAGCGCGGGTACCGCCGGAAGGCCTGCACTCGCTGGGACGTGGAAGCTGCGCAAGATGCCACACATCCATCAGGATCCATGGCACAGATCCTGTTGTCCTTTCACACAACTTCATTTGGTTTGTTTGAACTGCTCCGTGCAGCAAATTTAGATATCCTTTTTGTATGATGGTGAATTATGGAGCAAAATCGCATCATGATCGTGTGGCACACATTCATCAGGATCCATGGCACAGATCCTGTTGTCCTTTCCCACAACTTCATTTGGTTTGTTTGAGCTGCTCCGTGCAGCGAATTTAGATATCCTACTTGCATCATGGTGAATCATGGAGCAAAATCGCATCATGATCGTGTGCCACACATTCATCAGGATCTATGGCACAGATCCTGTTGTCCTTTCTCACACAACTTCATTTGGTTTGTTTGAGCTGCTCCGTGCAGCGAATTTAGATATCCTACTTGCATCATGGTGAATTATGGAGCAACATCGCATCATGATCGTGCAACACCAGTCAACGAACCAGGCGACTGGGGTGGAAACCAAGACAGGCAGCTAGACATGAGCATCATGGAGATCCCTGCAAGAGACTAACATGGATGTCTCCTTTTTTGACAGAAAGGGGTCGGTTTTAAGGGGACGCCAACCAAAAGCACGCCAACTATTGTGCAAGGCTACCTGTTGTTTGACTTCAAAGTCAACCCAATAAAACTGACCATCGTTCCAGTTTTGGGGGGCTGAAACCCCCCGCTCCCCCCGCCCCCCGATTGTGACACGCCCCATGGGGCCCTTGCGCCAGGCTTGGAAGCGCTGCTGAGCCCGGCACCGAAAATGAGCGCCGCCGCCTCCAGGCGCGATTGGTGTGTCGAGTGGTCCGACCCGTTTGGGCGTAAGGGCCTGTTCCTGGTTTGTTTCATCTTTTCGTGTTTTTTGAGGAAGTCGGACATGTTCTGAGGCGCGCGAAGCCGCTGAAGGCAGCACCAGGCACAGAACAGGCGCGGGACGCGCTGGAGAAGGCGAGGGGAGCCAAGTGCGGGCGGAAGTTGGGGGAGGGGGACGGAAGGGGGGGGTGTGAGGTTTGGGATTTGGGCCAGTGGGGGATTAGTGGATTGGGGGCTTGGGGGCTTGGGCCTTGGTGCAGATAATGCAACATGCTGGGAGTTTCAAAGATGCACCTAGTGCGACTGGGGACACTGGCGATGGTGTGATGCTGCTGGTGTCGCCGGCTTGTCAGAGGGCAGCCGGACTCGTTTGGTGGTTGATTGGTGGAGTACTGCTGAGGTCCAGGTCAACTAGATGTGTCGAGTGTGTTTTCTTCAGGATGCTGGGGGACAGAACTTCGTGTCTTGCGACTTTAGATGGATAAGATTTGTCCAAAAACACCAAGGGCTGATTCAATTTTGGGACTTGCCAACTTTCGTTCCTCCTGTGTGCCTGTTTTCCTGCATTGGTTGGGGAATCTCTCAGATGAATCGTGAGACTACATTTGCTGAGTTTGTTTGCTGGGCATTCTGCTGCAATGGTGAAAGTTGCGGGGCGCCGGGGGGGTTCAACCCCGCATTGTCGACCCGCTCTTTAGCCTGAACCGACACTTTGAGGAAAGCCACAGTAGGGTCCAAGAGTGGCACCATCTCTCAGCAAGGGCTAACATGAGAAACGCCATGAAGATGCCTTTCCTGGGGTAGGTTTTTTTATTGCAGCCATGTTGAATCTTCTTCTTTCTGCCTTGGATTCGTATTTCGGTCCATGGCGTTTCCGATGTCCGGCCCGCTTTTTTTTTGACCGAGCCAAGTCCGTCCGAGGTGATCGCCAGCTTGGACGACGCAGAGGAGGTCCTGGGACTCTTTCTCTCTCGGTTCCATAGGAGGAACGGGTACCCATTCAAAATGGGACCGGAAAACCCCGAAAAACGGGAACTCTTCCAAGGCTCCATGATGGTTTTTGGGATGCTTCCAAAGTTGCCAGCTGTTCCAGCTGCAACTTTTGCGGTAGGCTTTGTCAGAGGTGCAACAACTTTAAACACTTTCCCCAACCTCTGTGCGTGAGGTCAGACAGTGTTAGGTGCGTTGAAAGTTGCGGGCCCTTTCAGATGTTGAAGGTGGAATCCTCCAATGTGTCGAGAAAGAGGGCCTTCTTCCAGCGGGGAGGGGCAGGGGGAGCGGGGGGCCCTGGCAGAAGAAAGAGTCCGCGCAAAGAGCCTAGCTCACTTTCCGCGGATCGGAGACCAGACCCATTTTCCCTTTTGCTTTTTCAGCTGGCTCCTCACAACCGAGGATGTGGCCACTTCAGGACTTTACAAAACAGTGCTGTATGGTTTCTTTCTTCAAGGCAAAACCTGGCCCCATGGTTTTCGTCAATCCCGCAAACGAAATCGGCCGTATGGAGTTTCTCCAAGTCTGACACACTCCCCGCTTCCCAAATCACACACGACAGGCCGGCGCCAAAGGCTTCGCCCGGTGCGCGGTGCTCCATGGGGTGCCCTTCCTGGCGGAGAGGCGAAACGTTTCAAAGAGAAGAAGCCGGGAGCCACTGACACGCACACACACACACACATGCATATATGTATATTTATATATAGATACATGCATACACGAGTTTTTATATTCATACATTCATTCACTACATTAGGTTGCATCACATTCCAAATCATTGCGTTTTTACATGATATTACATGTCATCACACTCCATTTTCTTACACGACATTGCATTACATGATATTGCAATGCACTACAATATGCACGCACATTCATAGAACAATCGATAGCTAGCTATCTAACCAGGTAGCGACCTGAATAAGTAGATGAATGCATACATAAACCAATATATATATATATATATAGACGTATATTAACACGTACACACGTATATATATATATATCTTAAATCTGCACATAGTACATGTTTGCTTACTATATCATTTGACACATAAATGTAAATATGTTGGTTTAGGGTTGGTTTCCGGTTGGTTTGAGGTTGGGTTTGGAGAGCAGATCCTATGCATTTTTCCTTCTTCTTTTTTTTTTGGGGGGGAACACGGAACACGGGATCGCATGCGCACACGCTGTACATATATATATATACACACTATGTAGATGTAGGTAACATATGTATATCAGTGTATAGTGTCTACCTATTTTAAGCCACACTTACACATGCCTTTCGTCAAGCGTTGACCCTCTCAATCAACCCCCACTAAGCGCTGATTATGCGGCTCACAGGATACCCTACAAAGCCGTTCATTGAGAATTTCTGCAAGATTGCTGTGAACTTACCCAGACACTGTATACAATTCCTTCATGCACGTTCTTAGGGGCCCTTATGAGAAGCGAGGAGACTGAGAGACATAGTCAGTGCCTGAACCCGTAGCAGGTTGGCACTTGCACCTATCAGCGAGAGACATAGTCATTGCAAGCTTGCAATGGCAAATGTGCACACTACATAAAAGCTGCTTCAACGGACAAGCCCAAGATACTTGGTGCGCAGTTGCAAGGGCTGGATGTGCATTGCAGCGCCTATCTGAGCGGATTGAGACAAATGCCAGAGTTGAATCACGCGTGCGAGACCCAGAGGGCTGGCCAGCAGGCAGGCAGGCAGGCACGCACGCACGCAAGCAATCAAGCAAGCAAGCAAACAAATACATGATCATACACTATCTTTCATCCCGACATGCCTCACACCTGCATACGTAAACACCCGCACATCCACATGCATGCATTCATCCGTACATGCATACAGAATGACAGACGGAGACAGCGACACAGGCAGAGACAGAGATGGAAGCAGAGGCAGAGACAGACAAGAAGCAGAAGAATACACAGACACGAACTGCGCATATGTGTAGGTGCGTACGCACATGCACACATACAAATACACGCATATACGCACAAACATACACCCCTACACGCTCACGCGCATGCAAATCACAGCGTTTTCGGGGAGGCAGGAAAGTTGGGCATGGACGTCTCGGGGTGCTTTTGGCATGTGACACTGCAGCAAGCATTTTGGTTCCATGGGCCGGCTAAGGTGTTTTTCTGCTCCAAAGCCATATATCCTTTGTTTTTTTTCCACGGCCGAGCCCTCTTTCCGGGTTTGGTTGCCTCCTTGAACGCCACGTACAGTTTGGGGTTTTGGTGGACGAGTCAGGCTGGCGAAGGACTTCCCAGGGTGCCTGGATGTGGCCAAGCGCTTGCTGGCGCAGCTCAGGGCCCCGATGCAGGAGGCCAGGTTCGATTGGTCAAGAACAAAGAGGGTTTTCAGCTTGGCTTCCCTGAGTGAAAGGGTTGGTCCTCTGTTTGGTTGGCAGAATTGGGGCCCTGGCTGGTATCCCTTGAGAAAGGCGGCGCCGTGGATTGTAGGCACGGTGTGACGCGGACCATATGTTTGATCGCAGTTGAGTAGCCCAGGCGCACGCCCGAAACCCTGGGTCCGTCTGAGCGGGGAGATCTTTGGGTGGTTGGAACCGCTTGAGCGCAAGGGGAGGGCTCCCTGATTTCAACGGATTGCAAGATGTCGCAAATGCTAGGGTTCCGGTGAGCCCACAGGAGGTACTGGAGTCCCCGTGTTTTTTGTTGGCGCGAGAAACCATGAACCCTTCATGGAGTTTTCAGAGCTGAGAGGAAACCAACAACAAGCTTTTCTCCTTTTCAAGCCACCCTGGGAACCACCAAACCGAACCACCATTTCGAGGGAAGCTTTTTCTTCTTTTTTTGGTGGCTTTGCCAGGTCCCAGAAAGTTCCCGCACCCCCAACCTGAGAACCGGCCTTCCGCAGGTCTGCCGGGAGAAGCCGGAGGCGCTGTTTTTTTCTTCTTCATGTTTCTTTGCCTTTGATCTGGCGCCTTTGTTTGGTGGGTTTTTTTTGGGCCCCCCAACAAAGACACCGAAAGGAGTTTTTGATTTGGTATCTTTTTTTTTCTGGCTGGTTTACAGGGAAGCTTAGCGAGCCTTTTTTAGCAAATGGTAGTTTCTTCCCGAGTACCAGCCATAATTTGGTTTTGCGAGGATTGGATGTCGTTTTGCTGGCTTCCGGTTGAACACCGGAGCAAATGAAAGAGTTGTGAGGGGGTGCAACTGGTTTGTAAGACACACCGTGTTTGTGAAAACAGTGGGACCGCGTTTTGAACCCCCAACAAAAACGGCAGCAGAACACGTCACCGAAAGAGATCAATCTCGAAAAGGGCTTCTGGAGCTGGGAGTTGTTTGAGCGGCCCTGGCTTTACAGGGTATACTCAAGGAAATAAACCGCCATGTTGGGGTGGTTCCTCAACTTGACAAGCCCGTTGGGAGGTTGCAATTGCCGCCTGTTGCAGTCCCACACTTAATATGAAAGACATGCCAAGATGCCAAGATGGCTCCAAATGGGATGGCGGCCTTTTAACGGAGACCGAAAGGAAGCCACTCGTCCATACCCAAACGGGGCTTGCAGGCGGAAGGCTCGCAGCTTGGGAGGCTCGGACGGAAGGAGTTGTGCGAAAGTTCCATTGGGGGCATGTTGTTTTCTTATTTTTTGGGGGGTACCCTTCCTCGGTCCTTCGTTTTGAAGGGACACCAGGAACACTCCATTTGGAACAGATGGTTTCAAAAGGACACCCCCTGCTCGTAGCATCTTCCATCTACCCGCGCCGCACCCCGAATTCACCAGTTTCTTCGGGCATAGGTTGCGCGAAGCTTTGAGAGCTTCCCGGAAAGAGCTTAGGACTCCGCCCCCGACTACGTTCCAGCGTAGTCCTTCCGAATCTGTTTTTGTTTGAACAGTACTTGGCCTCCCGAGAGGAACTAAGATAAAATTTAAGATGACCAGGTCCAGGCAACCAAAGCAACCCAATCAAGCTACCAGCGACCGAAGCAATATCCAGACCCACTAACATCGAACTTTTGGGTTTGCTTGCAGAAGACCGTGACACGGATGGGAGGGTATTTCAACAATATTAGTCCAACCACTATCATATTCATATTCGCATATCAACGTCTTTATCTATTGATTAGCTGACAATATTATTGGTTTTGTACTGTTGGTTCAGGGAGGATGGGGGTCTACCCAAATTTGAATGGGGCCCCGATTTTTGTTTGCTCTTCCGGGAAACACTGGTAGTTTTCTCCGAGGGTCATGTGGGCGTGAATTCTATTTGGGACCCTTTGCTAGACGTCAGTTTTACGGGGATTTATGTCCACCATTTGGCAGAAGCTCTATGCCATTGAAGCGAAACTAAAGATATGATTTTGTGGCTTCTCCTCATAAGAAAATCGAGAAGGGGTCCATAGTTTGTCGTATCCTGGGGTCATATGTTATCATATTGCAACTTAACACCAAGGTTTGGGCTAAGCTCCGGTAGTATTTTCCATAGCTGGCTTGACTGGAGCATGTTCTCATATGGCCATGAATTGAGTGGGGAACCGCCTCAAAAGTGGTGGACATGAATCCCACATAAACTTGTGTTTTTTTCGTGCTTCTTCTATGGGTATATCTCAAATGGGGGACCCACCAAAACGGTGGTTTTCCTTGTGGTGTCCAAAAAGTGTACCCTCAAAAAACGGGACACACCCAATTTGTTTGCCGCTTGCCGAGCAATCGGACCTGCATTTGCCCGCTCCCGTTCCAGGCGGCGGCAGGTCTGCGGCAGCGCGGTTTTGGAGGCCGAGCTTCGGGAGGTGCGGCGGTCCTGGAACGGCGAGATGGAGGCGTCGCTGTCAACGCGTGACTTGTGGTCGCCCCAAAGTTGGGGGTGCCCAAATTTTGACGCATACCTCTTGTGTTTTGCTTTTGGTGGGTGCAAAGGGGTAAAAGGGCTGGCTGTTTGTGTTGGGGGGAAGGGGGGAATGGTAAGATGGTAAGAAGCTCCTCTTTCTTTCGCATTCTTTTTGGCGGGGGCAACGTGACTGGGGATTCCATTCCTGCAGCAGATATGGGGCTATGGGGCACAGAGACACACACCCCAGCCATCATGAGCCATTCGGGGGTGGGGTGGGGGGGGGGGGTGGTGGGGGAGGTGGGGGCACGAGGATTCTTCATGGTGGCTCTCTTCGCGCGCCTGAAGTTGACCTGGGATTGCGTGTTTCCCCAGATTCTGCGCATTTGGAAGTTCCCACTTTGCAGGTCTCCTGGCCCCAGTTTCCGTGGTGTCAGAAAACAACATTTCTGATGTTCTGATTTACTATCTGCATTTTCTGCGATTTCTGCTGTTGCGAAGAGGAGTAAACTTTTGAGTATCCGCCAGAGCTTCGTGCTGGCACGCGCCAGGTGCAGTGGTTCGAGTTTCTTCGCCTCGCCCCTTCGGCTTGAGCTGACGGAATGGGCCATTCGACCATGTAGTGACGCAGATCTTGGCAGATGGCAGTGGCAAATTAAATGTTTTTTTTTTTTGACTGGTTGGCACGTGGGCTCAAGACAGTGCGTTGGCCTGTTCTGTCCAGCTAAACATGTCCGAGAAGGGGGAGGGACGAGCAAGCTTGGTTTTCATCATGTGCGCGTTACCCTTGGCTTTGAGAGGAGCCTTGTACCTGCGATCTTTTTTACGGTTGTCATGTGTCTCTCCAGGCACAAGCCTGCGCAATTGCAACAAAGGTCGCCGAAGGTGCTCATGTAGCCCATCTTGCTCTCGAGCACGAAGCCGACATGTTGTTTTTGCGCATGTGTTTTTTCCACTGTGGTGTCCCTGTGAACTCGAAGAGCACGAGTACCATGCCGTACTTGGAGCTTGTCCTTGAGGTTATGTCTATGGCAGGAAGCAGTCATATGGAAATGTCCCACTTGCGACCAAACTCTGGGATCCTGTGGTCATTCTACAAGGGACTCCCGCTTCTTTTGAAGTTTCCTCGTTCGCCAACACGGAGCAATCGACTCAGATCCCGAAAACAAAGAGGGACCCAGCCTACAGTTTGGCTTTCTCGCGGGGTGCTTTGCTTCCATCCCAAGAGGCAAGGACTTGGGAGGCAGCTGGCAGGGACTCGGGGGACAGAACCCGAGGCGGACAGCGAGGACGCCGAGCGCAGCGACCTGGACTCGGAGATGGAGCTGTAGCCTCGCGCCCAAGGCGCGAGGCGGGGCTGAGAATTGGATTGGTGTCAGTTGAATTATGTTTTTTGCTGCCTCATGCGCCATGCATGGCAGAAGGACATCTGCCGAAACTCTTTTCGGAGGCTTGGCAAGTGGATTGGCAGTTCTTGGGCCAAAGAACGTTGGCATTGCTGGTCTCTCGGCGATGGGTTTGCCTTTTGACATTTTTTGGGAGGCATGAAAGGGCCTCACTCACTCCCCCTGTCTTCCCCGTATGGTGGACCCTCAGTCCACCCTTTCTTCAGCGTGTTTTTCTTCCAAGCGTCCATGCCATGATCCCCCCGCTTTCCTAAAATGGGTCATCGGGCGCTGTCAGTTTCCAGCCAGGCACGGATCACCTCAGAATTCGGCAGCACGTCGTCGAATTGCAGCTTGCGGGAGCCTGCGAAGGAACAAGTAAAAACAACGCGTGTTGGTTGTTCGTTGAATGAGCAACTTTCTGGTTTCAGCTGGTCCCTAAAGACCAGGGCTGGCACCGGACTTTTGGGTTCCGGTCATTTATTCGGGCACTGCCAAGCTGCCACAGGAATGGCTAAGAGCTGGCCGGGTCGACCTTTTTGGCCCAGCCAAAGAGAGGTTTGGCCCGGCCCCCGTGGCTGGAATCGAGGGATCGACTAGGCAAAAGGACCCTTGTGCGATGGCTGAAGGATAAGTTGACCGCTGCCAGATTTCCAGCCGTGCACCAATTGACGCTTTGGCAAAGTTCGCACGACGCCCCGTCCAACGAGGCTGGTGCCTCGTTTGCTCGCTCAACTCAGCCTGTCCAAAGGATTTGTCGCTGAATCTCGTATGATGCTGCAAGGGCGGCGTCCAAATTCAGACCCTCCGACAAGCGGAGATTACGTTTGCGTCGCCCTTCTCCCCAGTGTCACGTAGTGATCAAAGCTTAGGTGAAGGTCCAAAGTCAATCCCGGAAGCTTCTGGAGCAAGCAACAAATGGCAAGCAGGTTTTTTTGAACATGCCTGGCAGAAGGTCGCGTCGATAGTTTTTCGGGGCCCTTGGGGTCGCAGAGCGACTTGAGAGCGTTGAGCAGGACGTGCGGGTCCTAGTCCTATTGGGTGCCAAGCATAATTTTGTTTCCTTTGCTTTAGTTGGGAACCGTTTCGCCCTGCTTTGGTCTCTGCTCAAGTGGGCTTGTGGGGAGGGCACTCCCCCGGATAAGAGCTGAATCTGTGGGCTGAAAACCGTTGGCTGCCTTTTTGGCGCCTGCACTCGCAGCGGTTGGTCAACAGAATTAGGAAAACAAAGGCCGAGCTGCAAAGGGCCAGGTGATGTCACGATGGCGAGTCGCGAGCCCCGGAAAGCTCTCCGAGTCAGCCCCCCTTTTTGGTGGTTTTAAAGGAATACCACAAGGAAGGCACACTTGTTTTGCTGTTGATTTCTGTTTTTTTGGGGTGGGGCCCAAAAACAAGATGCAACAAGATGTGAGACACCCATGTTTAGGCAGCCATTGTTCTCCTTTGTTCCTTCTTTTTTGCTCTTAGCTGTCCGCGAAGCTTCCAAACCCCATCCTGTGCCGACCTGCTGCCGTTGGCTTCAACTTGTGCGGTCAAACTTCTGACAGGCGGGTGGTCGGGCTGTGGATCGACTTTTCTTTGAGCTTCGACCAACGCATTTGCTTGCTGCACGGCTTCCTTGCATCTCTCCCGCGACAGCAGACGTGAGACATGCTTGCAGGGCAACCTTTGAAAGCATTGAAGCGGGCAAGGTTGAGTCGCTGCTTTGTTTGTGCATTAGCCACTTGGTAAACCCCACTCCGGCCCCCTCCACTCCTTCCCCTCCAATGATTGTTGTCGGCCCTTTTGCTGACGTATATATGCCCAGCCCTTTGTTTGTATTGCTCCTCCCTTTTCCTCCTCCTGTAGTGTTGCAAAGGAGGCGCTTTGGGGAGGATGCATATTCTTCACTGGCGAGCTTGCCCAGCTTTTTGTGTCCAGAGCTATTCATTGTCTGCCTTGGACCAGCCAAGACAAAAAGCCTGGCCATGTCTTGCCCCAACAAAGGGCATCAGTGAAGAATAACTTTGTTCGAGGGACATTTATTGACGTAGGTTGACGTCGTGGCTTGTCCAAGGAGGCATCTTGGATGAGCTCGAATTACCACATTGCCAAGTATCCCCATATCTAGTTGCAAATCGGGGATGTGATCATGCAAAAGGTGCAGGATGTCTGCAAGTGCACCGCGTTCCAACGGAACTCGTCAGGTGATAGCGAACCTCCGAGTACATCTTCACAGCTCTCTGGCCCGGAGAAATCTGGTCTGCGCCCTAAGCTGCGGGTGCCGCGATTGTTGGGGAGGTGGGCCTGTTGGCCCGATGGTTGGAAGAACCAAGAGCGGGTTCCACGATGCCCGGCGTTTGGGTGTCTGTTGTTTGCGCCCGAGCCCAGAGGGGGGGGGGGGTGAGCTCATTCTGAAACAAGACTGTGGGTTTGCCTGGGCTCCAAGGTTCCAGCGCAAAGAGGGCCCTATCCAGTCTTGTGCCTCTCCGCGCTGGTGTGGGGAAGTGGGCGTCCTTCGACCCATCCGACAGGTACCGTATCAAACGGGTCTCGGCGCAGGCGCAAGAGTGGCCTAGCCGATGATGTGGCGGCTTCTTCCGCTGCTTCTGCTGCCAGCGGAGGCTGCCAAGGCCGGGTGGGTTTGGGCTCGGGCCCAGAAGCCCAGGTTGGTGAGGGAAAGAGGCGATCTAAGGTTCTCCTGATCGAAGCGTGGGTACAAAAAAGCATATCCAGAACAGCCATGGATTTTGGCAGCAGCTTCCCAGGAAGTTCCCTGTTCCGAGCCAGCCCGTGCCGCAGGGCCGCAGCGTGATGTCGGTGCAGATGCAGCCGGCTGCCCAGAACTCGTCGAAGCCTCTTGGACTTCTGGGATAGATCCCGTATCGCTGGGGCCCGGCGGACGGGTTGATTTTGACCCTTTGTCTCTTTTCCTTTTCGGTTTTAAGGGGAACCCGCAACCCCCAAGCGGGACCCTCCCCCCCCTGCGTTGCTCGAGCCCGGCGACGGATGGCTTTGGCTTCCGAGGCGGTCGAGTGGCCTGGCAGACCTGGCGCCCGAGGATCTGCCGAAAGCTCGGAGCTGTCGACTTTGGCTTTCTGTTTCAGTTTGTTGTTCTTTTTGTTTTGTGTTTGCGCTTCTTTTTCTTTATGTAAGGAACGTATTTTTTGGATTTTCGATGAGTGATTTGGGGTGTGATCTTTGAGCCACAACTGTTTCTGCTGCTTCTTTCTTGTTGATCTGTTCAAAGTCCGGGTTTCCGGGTGCTGTCTCTTTTTTTCACCTCCTGTGAGTAACTTTGAGAACGGTGAAATTATTTCCGCCCGTTCGAAGAGGGCGCCCTTCGTTATGGAAGGCCCCCTTGAGGAAGCAGGTGTAGCCGGAGGTGCGGGGCCAACATGGGGTTAAGTGCCTTTTGGCACATCTTCTCCACGCAGCTAAATGAGTGGGGCTCCTTCGGCCAAGAAACGAGGGCGACGATTCCGCGCCGGTGTGTTTCCAAATGGGGGAGACTCTTTTTGGCTGAGTAGAGAGGACAACTGCACATTTGAACAGTACGAATGGTCCCCTCAGAGCTTTTGGACTGTCCCACATGGTGAGGATGTATCCCATGGAGAGCCGCATTTTGGCTGTCCTTGAGTCGCTGTTGGCCCCCGAAATTCCTTGTTTCCCTCAAATCCCACTTCCCCTTGTTTTGAAGGCAGCAAATGACTTGTTGACACCTCCAGAACAGGCTCTGTTTCTGACACCCGCCTCGTTTCTGCCATCCCAGGCTGGCAGAGGACGAGGACCGCGGACAGCATCCACTCTTGGCGATCGGTTTCCCTGCTCCAACAAAATAGAAGACGCTTTGTCATGAGTACCGGCATTGTTCCCCAACGCTCATGACTTCAGCTGGTTTCACAATGCCCCACAACCCCATTCCAATTGTTTCGGTTCGCCCGGTATCCTCCATGTGAAGAAGTGGTTCCAAAGATCGCTTTCAGCGACTCTGAACACTTCCGACTGTTGAGTTGAATGTTGCCGCCTGATGCCTGATTAGCGCCTTTGTTGCAAGCTGGAAATTGGCTGTTGATGGACGGCAACAGATTTGGTGCGTCCAGCGAATCTAGGCAAGCTCCAGCGAGCCAAAATGGCGGCCGGATGCCGTTTGAAATAAAACCCTTGTTACGAAAGGTAGCGTAGGGGAGTGCAGCGTTCACACACGTGCCACGAGGGAGTTTTGCAACGCATGACTGTGCTGGGTTGCTGTTTTTTCTTGTCTTGCTTAGTGTTGCATTGGAGCCTGAATTTTGGCAGACTGACCAAGAGAAAGGGCCCTTGTGCTGAAGCAATCTGGCGATGCGCTGTAGACAGCTCCTTTTGAGTCATGTTTTGGAGCCAGAAGGGGCTTTCGCTTTCGCACCATGAAATACGTTTCAAGGCCGAATGTGGGTTCTCAAAACGGGACACCTCCCAAACCGGCTTTACCGGCATTCCCTTTGTTTGTTTCTGTAAGACCGGAAGGGTACCTCAGGAAAGAGAGCCCCACCTCCTTTGGTACCTCCGCTGAACCCCGCGGAGCCGTTTCAGGATGACGCCGAGTGCACAGACTTGAGACTCAAGAACAGGCCGGCTGGGGCGGCCGCCTAACGGGGGATTCAAGTCGTGACATGTGGCTGCAATTGGATTTTCTGTAAGATCTATCATTTTTTGCAATCTTTGTTTGGTTAAGCAACATTAAAACACCATGTCTTGGTTTAGGGCAGGTTGTCAAAGCAAGTTCAGCCCTTCGGGAGAAAATTGGTGAGGTGCACACCGCACACGAAAGGGCGCTCCGGGCACAAGAAGGTTATGCTCAATCTTTGCTCGCTGCTGATTGTTCGTACCTTTTACCCCGGTTTACTGGGAGGGACAGCAATTCGCCATTTGTGTCTTGGCTGTGTCAGATTCTCCAGCAGGATGTTTCCTAGTAACCCTCCTCAATTTTTAAGGGCAAACCAAATTGCCCCCCCGCCCCCCTCTCACCAAAAAGGCAAGGCAAACCTTCCCCCCTCCAACACAAAAACAAAAGCCCCCGCAGTGAGCTGAACATATCCAGCTTTTGCCCAGTTTCTCGCGAATTCCATTTGGAGCCAGCCCCCAAATCAAATCTATCCCACGCCTAGAAAGAGGCACAAGAAATCTCATCCATACCTTCCCGCAAGAACATGCACTCCAAGCCAAGCCTCTCATTTCCCGGGAAAAGCAAAAACCGAATAACGCACGAATCCAACGGCCGAAGGGAGCTGGGCGCCCAGCTCATGGACCTCGAGCGCCGGGCCGCGGAGCAGGCCACGGCGGTGGAGTTGTTGTGGCCCCCAAAAGGCCCGATGGAAGTGGACAGGTCCCTTTCTTCTCCATGATGTAGGGGGGGTGCCCATTTCAGGTTGGTTTGAAGGGAAGCCAAAAGGAAGATCAGCTATGTGGGTGGTGCAATTCCCGGCTTTGACACATGGCCTGAAAAAGCAATGCTCTAAAAGAAGGTGTTGCAACATAGATCCCAACTGTCCATCGTACGGTGGTTTTGGGTGTGGGGGGTGGGAGGTGCCCGGGATCAAAGTCCAACCCCAACAGGATACGCGAGGTCCGAATCCCCTAGAGCCCCTCAAGTTTCCCAAGAGGGTTTGGCGCCAGTTGGCTAGGAGTTTTGCAGAGAGGCCCCTCAGAAGTGGCAGCGTGTTTTCTTCGAGGGCCATTGTTGGGGTTTGGCGAGTTTTTGCGGCTTTTGGTGGCTCAGCATCCCCAGTAGCACTCCCAGCATCACCAGCAGTGCCCCCCAACATCACAAGCAGCACCTTGCATTTTTTTCAGGATGTTCGCCTTTGTGCTGCGCTTGATTTGCAAACCCAAATGTAACTAAGCTGACTTTAAACCAAGCCTAAACCCGCCCTGAACCCATTCTAAAGAAATCCCAAAGAAAGCTTAGACCTGCCCTCTCCCAATACAAACCCAGTCCAAACCAGCAATACGCCAGCCCTACAAAAGCTCCGAACCTACCCTAAACCAACCCTAACCCCCACTCTCAAACCACCTTAACCCCTAAACCCTAAACCCACCTGAAAGCCACCTTAAACCAGCACTAAACCCACTAAACCCACTAAACAGCACGAACCATCCCCAAATCACTCTAAGCCTGCCATAAGACCCTAAACCCAACTACAGCCTAAACCAACTCCAAACCAGCCCGAAACCCACCCTAAACCAACCCTAAAGAAATCCTATCTCCAACCAGCACTAAACCGTCCCTAAACCTACACCCACCTATACAAACCCAAAACCAACCGAAACCAACGCTACAACAAGTCCTACACCTATCCTGAGCCAACCCTAAGCCAACCTTGAACCCACCCTAAGCCAGAGCCAGCTGGCGATGCTGAGGGTGTTGAAAGCGATGCCCGGAGTGTTAAACGCCACGACAGTGCGGAAGGCCAAGAGCCAAGAGCCTTTCGCGAACGCTTGGCGAGATGTTGCCAGATCGAATCTAAGAACAGGCACGGGCCTCAATGCGTACAACATACACAAGGCCAAAACAGAGCAGACGCAACATACACATTTTGCACAGAGTACGTAGCATGCTTCCAAACAGCAAGCTTACACCGATCCAGCAACACGGAGCTTCAGGAAGAAAGGACTTGCACAAGTTTTATCTTGCACAGAGCCTACTTTGGAGAGGCCTCGCACGAACAAGAGAAGACGACAGACAAGCCTGAGGACACCGCGCTGGCGCGGCTCGCCCGCGCAGTGCGCGAGTGGGGCAGCCCGAGGAGTGGAGCGGGCAGGTTGTCGGGAGGCCTTTGAGCCCTCAGCTTTTTTTGTTTTGTACATTGGCCTCATGACTCAGGGAACCGTTGGTTGATGGTTTGGATTGGTGGTTTGGTATTTGAACTTCTGGTTCTTATGGAAGGAAGGTAGATGGGAAGCCACCCCAAACCTCCCAACCACCAATCCAAACCATGCACAGGTAGAGCCAAGTGTGACACTTCTATTTGGCGTTCAACGCCTGTGTGTCTTCCTTGTTCTGCTTCAGTCATTGGGACCGCGGTGCTGCAGAACCAAGTGCCAACTATGTCAACAAACACGTGGGCTGAGCAAAAAGCGCGGTCCTTTTTCAAGACGCATCGGGGGCACTACCAAATGCGTGCTTTTCAAAATGGATGTTGAAGGGAAACCAAAAGCTGAGGGACCGATTCCAGTTGCGAGAACCCCCCCCAGATTCGTTCAGGCTGCAGCTAAGAGGCCATGAAGGGGCAGCTGATGGCATGTACCGCTCAGTCACTTGAAACGTAGGTTGGGAGAAGAAACCCGCAGAGAAAGGTGCAGAGTGGGCACTTAAATGGTTGTAGCGCCCTCCAAAATGGTGGGTGGACATGCAACCCCATGTCTAAGCCACCAAGGGTCCCCCCGACAAAAACCAAAACCAAGTGGGCGACTTTCACTCGGCAGCGTGAGGTTGCGATCGCTTACGTGAGCGGATTCCATTCGCCGATGTGAATTCCAAGTGGACTGCGCAAAGTAACCCCGTCCGCTTCGGACCGAGCGCAAGGAACGCTGTGCCCTTGGTTGCATGTCGCTTGCTTTGGGCTGAAAGAGGAGTTCTCGTTTCAATTTGTTCCTCATTTCCCAGCTGCATCCAACTATGGACTGGCCAGTGTTGCACCTGAGGGATGGCTGTGTGTCACAAGCACGCGCGCAAACCGCCGGGCGTGCGCTTTTAATTAGAGGCCCCTCAGGAGTGCTGATTCTCATGGTGAGGTAAAAGATGCGAGTTGGGGCTGGTTAATGCAGTGCATTTTGTAAATGAGCTGACAATATGTTGGGTAGTCTACAGTTGGTTTGGTGAGCAGAAAATAGGGGCAACTCCCCAATTTTGCCATGTCCCTGTCAGGAAACAAGTCATTCTGTCCGGGGCTCGCGTGTTTGTCAACCCGTGGGAACAACGGGATGCAATGACTAATGGCTAACAATCATCTCTTAGTGTAGCGAGCGTGACGTTAAGCTTCAACAGTTCACAGGTTCAGCATGGGCCGCGACTCGGACGGCTTGCACCGCTTCTCAGATTCACTTGTGCTTATCTTGGGACACGTTCCAAGCTTGATGGAGCCCCTGCCGGTGAATGAAACAGAGCTCCAATGCCCTACTTTCCCGCCAGATGCACCGCTCAGACAACTGGTAGCCTCCTTTGTCTCCCTTGTCTCTTTGTGCTTGGTTGAGCTGTCTCATTCATGCTCGTTTCTCGCGCATTGTGCCGGAGTTCAGCCCATATATATATATATATATATAGAGAGAGAGAGAGAGAGAAAGAGATGGAGAGAGAGAGAGAGAGAGAGACCATTCTTTAAGTCTTTTGAGTCCGCACGCCCACACATCACTTTGCGTGGTTCGTGGAAAGCACCTGGGCACCCAGAGCTGCGATCAACTTGGTATATCGGCGCGGCTTGTGGATGATTCCTTCTCTCTCCCTTTTTCCTGGTATCATTTCCCGTGTGCGTTTGGCATGAATCGGTGCTTTGGGTTAAGGCTGTCAATTCCTGGCGGGGGGAGACCTCCGAGATTTGCCAACCGGAGAATTCCCGCCATGGAACAGGTTAACTTCCTTGGGGACGGTTCTTATCCTTCTTGAAGCCTATCCGGCGGATGGAAGGCATTCTGCGAGGGACCTTTGCAGTCTCGGAGATTCGCCGACGGAATGCCATGGAAGCCGCGAATTGCTTGTGCCCATCTGACTGTTTTGTGGTCTGTCTGGACAGCGATCGGAGCGGATCGGAGTTTCAGGCATTTTACGTGTTTCCAAGGACCTTTCCAAGAGCCTAAAGCTTGATGCATCTCCAAACGAGTGCCGCCGCGCCGTGCTAGACCATGGGGCTCAAGCAAAGAGCCAATCAACCAGCTGAAGCCAATCAGCCAGCCAACCAGCCAGCCAGGCACTTCCACCTTGCTCAGCCAGCTTCCCAAATTTGAGTCTCTTGCCCGCGCGAAGCAGCTTGGGAACCAGCCTAACTTTTGCAAGTTGCCGGCAAAAGTGTCAGAAGCGTTCCCAAAGACTAACCGCCGGAATTCGGCGCCGCCTCTTCCTCTTTCCCTCGCCGGTTTTTTTGGAGCCATGGCGCTGGCACCGCCAGAAGCTTCCGCCTCCAATGCGCCGGTCCCAGCAGGGTTCGAGTCGAGTTCGGGCCGGGCGGTCGGGGTTGCCCGACCCTAAGATCGGATGGCCATTTGACAATATTTGACCATCATTTTACCATTTTGTCATGGTCAGCAACCACGGAGCTCGAGGTTCTAAGAGCGTCCAGGTGGCCTTTTTTGGAGAAATTGAGCACTTGTCAACCTGAGACCGGCACAGTGTTGAAGCCTTGTGATTAGGAATAGTCATAACATGCTGCTAATTGCTGTTACTCATTCAAGCAATCCTTCTTTCTTTCCAGTTTGGCATTAGAGTTGAATTAGAATTCAAATAGATTCCAGTATGGAAGAGACTGATAATTTGCCTGGCCCTTACAGGAGTGAACAACCACTAGAAAAAGGACAATACAATTTCAGTTCCAATGTGAATTTTGCATTTGTTAATTTGAACTCGACGTAACATCTTATTTTGAATAATAGTTATTAGGGTGTCCTTTCCAAGTAGGATGTTAATTAGGATCTAAATAGATTTAATAATAAACATGGGGACATGCAAAGTCTATTCCAATTGTTTTGCAAGCTTTAAATTACAAGGCTTTAAGTTTCAATCAGATCAGAATTCACTCAATATTTTCATTTTGATTTAGATTTTAAATAGTACTTCTGTTCCCAGTTGGATTTCAGTTAGAGTTTTATTAGAACTCTTATTTTAATTCAGAATTTAAATCGGACTTTTGCATATATGAGTTCAACTAGAGTTTAACTTGAAATCATATTTTGAATCGGTGTTTCAACATAAATGCCTTTCAAGTGTAAAATAGGAACTTCTGTCCAGCACGTACTTAGAATTTGATGTTTTGCATGGAATCTAGTAAGGAAAGGCTGACGCGCTGGTTGCTTCTTCTGAAGTTTTGTTTGGATCATATCTTAAGCAGGAATTCATTTCCACGTATCTAGGCTTTGATCAAGATTTAGTTTACATTTGACTAGAATATGGTAAGGAACGACAAGCTAGTTGTAACTGTTAGTTACTTTTTAATGACTTCTTACGCGTGATTGGATGTTTAAGAGGAATTGAGTAGAGTTCTTATTGTAAGATTGATTTGACATAGGAATTCCTTTGCAAGTATACAATTCCTGGAGATTGAATAGAATCTGACAAGCAAAGACAAGCTGGTAATTTCTTCCGATCTGCCTAGACAACAAAAAAACAAGCTCGAGAACAGAAGTAGCCCCCTCATAGACACAGAAGACACAAAACAAAGCGAGGAAAACCAAAAACAGCAAAACCATTCGAAGAAAAAGCAAGGAAAGCTTTGAGAAAAACCAAAGAAACCAAGAAACCTTGAGAGGAACCAACAAAACCCGAAAACCAACAAACACGAACACCATGTTTCTAGACCTCTTTCAACATGGGTTGTGCGCCAAAGAGTTCTTCATCAGTTTTTTTTTTGGGTTTTCCTCTTTTTCTTCTCCTCAAGATGCTTCCTCAACTGGCACGGCTGACCCATGGGAAGGCTGGAAGCCTCAAAGCACACGAAAAAAAACAATTGCCCTGCGAGGGATTTTTTTGTTCTGCAAGTGTAAGGTTTTTTTCTTCTTTTTCTTTTTCTTCGTGTGATAGAGCATCGCATTTGTTTTTTGATGGCATACATGTTGGAAAGCGTGCTGGCCGCCACAATTTTTGGACACTGGATGGAGCCAGAAGGGCTTGTGGCTACTTGTTGGGAGTGTTTGCAAGATGCCAAGGAGGTGAATGACTACTCACTAGTTACCAATCAGTTGCTATGTACCATTGATTCTCATTGGTGGTTTCTGGTGGACAGGCCCTGGCAACTTTGTAAAGGATCTCGTTCATCAGAAGCGGGCCTGAACATGCTGAAGCTTGAGGATGAGGACAGTCGAAGTTGGAGGATTTCCTGCACCTTGCAAGTAATCCAGAGAGGACCTCAGTTTTCCCGTTTCAACGGTGGAACATGAAACGGGAACAGGTCCCCAAGACGGGACCCACCCCTCACCCCCTTCTGGCATTTTTGGCAAAGCAGTGGCTCGCCTTTGGTCAGTTTCCATTCGCCTCAGGGGTCCTTCAGCTCCTCGGGGAAGTTGCAGGGGGCCCCAGGCTTTGGTTGCCTCCGCGCGCTCCCCTCACTCCCCGGGGTTTGTTTTGGGTTTCTCAACATGGCCTGCGGACCCCTTTTCTGGAAAGGGAAAACCAACAAGGAAACCAACCGTTTGCCTTTTTTTGGGGCCGATTTCTATTTTGGTGAAAGACCCCCTTGTGTGCGTGTGTTTGTAAGTCTCTCTCTCTCTCTCTCTCTCTCTCTCTCTCTCTCTCTCTCTCTCTCTCTCTCTCTCTCTCTCTCTCTCTCTCTCTCTCTCTCTCTCTCTCTGAAGGAGAAAGCGTGGAAAATGGGTGTTTTCCCGTTGAATTTGCTTTCAAGCAACGACAGTTATAGTGCGTATCAATCAGTTAGCACACGGAATTCCAACGTTGAGTGCTAACTTTGTGGGTGCTTGCGCAGCGTTTTTTTCCCAAGCCCCAACAGTTAGCACTCCAACTAGTCTGGCAGTCGGATTGTTCAAGGTCTTTGAAATGCGGCTTGCAATCAAAATAGCTTTACATGGGCAATTGTATGCTGGATTCGTGGCATGTTTGAATGATGGGAGTTCAAACAAGTCAGTCCCCCGGGAAGCACCGGTTTTACCATTAGGGGCCCCCCTGTTCCCGGAGCTCCGGCTCGAAAGTCGCAACTTTGTAGCACAGTCGTAGTAAACTGACCAGATCCGGAGCAGCACTTTTGGTTGGCAGCATTTTGAGTGAGATTCCTTGCAGGATGTTTGCAAGGATGCATCGCCTTGCAACTATGGTCTATGAGTTTCTGGTCGGTTAAGGGCACCCTCAAAGCCCGCCCTTGTCGCCCAACAGACCTCGTGAAGTTTTTGCCGCTTGTGCGCATGCGCAAAAATACCAGTCGCGGGAGGTGGGCCTTGCGTTGCTTCACCCTTAGCATCTCAAAGCTGCGGGGGACATGAGTTCAGCCATTGAGCGGTTTTTCGTTGTACCCTTCGAGCAAGACGGTCTGACGGCGAAGGCCCAGTTCGACCGGCAACCGTTGCCTCAGGAAGAGCAACAGCGAATGCGTCAAGGCTGGGAGGGGTCTTTTCTGACCCGGCTTGGATTTTAACTGCGGGCAGCGCCAGACTCCTTCCAGGCCATCCCAATCACCTGGACAAGTCGCAGCCGGTACCTCTGAGGCTTCCAAACCAAGACTCAGCTCTTGTTCATTTTGGAACCTCTGGAGCCCGCTGGGAGCCCTTTTGGAATCCAAAAAAGCTTCCACATTTTCAGGGGGCATGGGGACACACTTTGAGGCCCCCTGCCATCCAGGCAAGTGTCCTTGTGTCAGACTTACCAAGTTGCCAGAACTCTCTCCACTGGAAGCTGACAGGGCCGGCGCTCTGCTGGCAATTCCTGGGATTGCACAGCTGTCCTTTCAGTTCAGTTGGGTTGAATAAATGGGTATGGGTCAAAATTAAACCACCAGGGGACCGCAGGTTTTAGTCCCTGTTTCCATTTACCAGGTTCCATTCTGGTACCTATTTTTGACAGCCAAATGATCCATCCCCTTGCCTTGGATGAGTTTTCTGCCCTACGTACCAGAGGAAAACCATCGATTTGTTCCAGGTGGTGGTGCGCGTGCGGCCTCTGAGCTCCAAGGCGGAGATGTCGAGACCGTTCTTTTTTTGGTTATTTTTTTGCTTTGGGTTTCGAGGGGCGTCCCTTACAGAAATAAAAGCAGCTACCACAAAACAGAGGGTGTTTTTTTTCCCATGGGCACTGGGAGTCTGGGGTTGTGAGGAGCTGACTCTCTTCTTTCTTTTGTTTGCATCAAAGATCCAATTGCGCAACTTGGCATTTGAGCCCATAGATTCGTTTGTTGTTCTTGGGGCACTGCCAAAATTTGCCAGCTGTTCGTCCGTTGAATGTTGGCCCTCAGTGAGCCCGACTTATAGCTTGAAGGCAAGGTGGCTGGGGCCACCTAGATTCCCAAAGACTGGCAAAGCTTCCCAAAACATCCAAAGCAAATAGTATCGTCCGTGGCTCACGGATACCTGGCAGAGTTCCGTGTGGTCAATAACCATTTTGTCGATGAGGGGGGTGCAGCCCATGCAAGGTGGAGTTCTTCTCTTTCGGGGGCGACGTTTTGCCCCGTCCATCCCTAAGGTTCATGAATCCGGGGTCGACACCTGCTGACATGCAGATGCCTCGCTCGGGGTTTCCTCAATGGGAGACCGACGCAGGAGATTGCCGAAGGCCGCGAGGTGATTGTGCACATGGACCGGGGGAAGGGGAAACTCCACGAGCCCAAGTTGAAGAATGCATTGTGTGTGCGTGCGCGTCTTGAGGGTGAGCTGTTCAGGTTGGTTCCGTATTAGGGAAAACAAAAGGAAGTCCAGCTTTTGTTGGGTCCCCCCGTGTTGACACATACTCAAATTTGAGTGGAAGTGAACGCCGTGGACATCATGTAAGGGGGGAGTGGCCTATATCAAACTTGCGAAAGTTCAAAGCTGTCGTCTTCCCCTGCACACGGTGCCATCAGGCCAAGAACCCCCAGCATGCAGGGCATCTTGAAACTCATAGCCGCCGCCATGGCTAGCCAAAAAGCCAAAGTATTCAACAGGAGGACACGTGGAGAATGGCGTGCCGAAAGGGGCTTGAATCGCTCACTTGTTTCTTGTTTTGCCTTTCCAGGGAGAACCTCCGGCAGGGAGGATCAAATATGTGCTTTGGGCCTGTGAAAGCAGTTTGGGATGTGCTGGCTGCGAAATCTAGGTGGTTGATTGGTTGATCAGCCAATCGGGTGGTTTGGTTGGGTCAAAGCTTAAATGTTGGGATTGTTTGGTTGGCAGCCAGCCACAAAGGACAACTGCCATAATGGTATTGGCTGTTTGGTTGGCACATGATGGCGCTGGTTGGGTCTGGGCAAGTGCAACCATTATGCTTGCCGAGCCGATTCCCCACCTTTGGACACCGCCTCACGGGCCAGTCGGCTCCATGAGCAGGGCTTCCCTCACTGCACCATTTGAGCAGGCTTCACTTGCACAAACATCCACATATCAAATGCATCTGTTCATACTTGGATGAACAAAACATCGGCTCATGACTCATTGCATTGAGAGGAAGAGGCAGGAGCAACTGCGAGAAGAAACCCAGATATCATTGGGACAGTTAGCAGATTTGCGTTGTTCTGAGCTTAAGTTAAAATCGCATCCACTTCAGTGTGCTTCGGACACAGCCAAACTGGCCCAGACCTAAATGTACGAAACTTAGCCGTGCCTTAAAGCAACGTTCAGGAATCGAGAGCAACTATCCAGCGCTCCTGAACAGACACAGCTCGGCCACTTTGACACATCACCTTTTCCCCCATGGCGCAGATGGAAGCCAGCCTTTGTTTGTTTTTTGTCGTTGTTGCGGGATTCGTGTTTTTCTTGGCGATGCGAAGCCCTGCTAACCCGAGCTCACCAAGATCTGGGGACTCTGCGCAGCTTGCGGCATCCCATGGCCTTGGCCTTCGCGGCGCTCTCGCCCTTCGTGGCCCAGTGGAATTGACGTCGAGCTTGGAGGGGGGTTTGCGGTGGGATTTTTCCCGTGAAAGAATTCAGAGGGGCCAGGGGCCAGTCACTGGGGGGTTGTTTCGTGGCAAGCGAACCTCTCTCTTTGAGTCTTCAAAGGGAAAGCAAACGGAGCAAAACGATTTGTTTGGCGGCTCCTATTTCAGATATCCATGTTTTGAACAATGATAGTAGTCAATGGTTCTTGACCGCGTCCAAGCAAGAGGCGCCCACATGTTTCATTATTTTACATTATTTTGGGGGCGTGTTGCTGAATGTTCGCAACACCCAAATGTTCCAAGCGGAAAGGTTTTTTGCCTTTACACGAGCGATCATGTGCAAATTGGGTCCAGTCGTTGTGGCAACTAATTGCCAGAGGCCCTTTGGATTTTCACTGAAATTGAAAAACATCTTTCGTCCCACGGGAATTGCCACATTGCGTGAGTTCAAGGGACCAAGACCAGTCCTTGGCCGGTACGATGGCCGAAAGTGTTTTTGGTGCTGCCATATTTGGCAACTCGTGCCCAAGGCACAGGAGGTGCCCTTGATTTTGAAGTTCGCTTGATTGGACAAACCCACGCCTATGCGTTTAATGGTTGGAACAGTCATGGCTCAGAAATACCCATGTATTTCTGATATCTACCAAAGCGTCCAATGAATTCAACTCAGAAAAGGGAAGTCAGACCCAAATGCCTTTCTGCAGGTTCCAGTTCCACTTCCCCGGCCTCGAGCGATGGAGGCGCGCGGTCGTGCGAGCGGCGCAGAGGCTTTCAGTGAGTGACCCCCTGGCTGTTACCAAGCGGATCTAGGAGGGAACCACCAATCTTGCAGACATATTGCATCTCTCAGCCCCGACCTTTTGGACACACGTATTTTTTACTTTTTTGGAAACAAGGGTGAAACTAGGGGGGGAAGCTCCTTTTGGAATCCGAGGCGGAGGAAGCGCCAGGTGTGTTGGGGCCACCCGTTTCCCTGTGTTTTTCTGGAAAGGCGTCCCGGGTTTCCAGGCGCGCCGCGCCTGGCTCCCCCTGGCAGTGGCCACCAGCGGCGCGGCGGCGCTGCTGGTGGCGCGGGCCTGGCGCAGGCGCGAGGAGGGCGCTGAGCGTCAACTGGCCATGGGTCGAAAGCCCGTACCCCCAGTGCGGTGAATTCACCTACCCCAAAATGGGATCCTATTGGTTTTGACCAGCCAACTTGGGGCACACATCGAAATGCGCCACGTGAACCCCAAACAATTGAGATTTTAGGCGGGTTCCATTAAAAAGGAAGGGGCACAAAGCAGCCCATTTTGTCAGTCTGGTTGTTGAGGGCATGGGTGAAAGGTGGTTTGAGTTTGAGAGCTAGCCTCTAAGTGTGTATGGCAGGGGAAAAGCCCCAAGGAAGACTGGAGCGCTATAGCATTACTAGTCTGGGGGTTTTCGTCTATAGATTTGAGGGTGAAATGTTTCGGAGCTGCTGCTGCGTGCGCGAGCGTCCGAAAGCTTGCACAAGCGGTTGCAGGCGGTTGAGAGCGTTCAGTGGTGTTCGCAAGCATGCGCGTGTGGAACAGCTTTTGTGGTTCATATGTGTGTGTGTGTGTGTGTGTGTGTGTGTGTGTGTGTGTGTGTGTGTGTGTGTGCGTGTGTGTGTGTGTGTGTGTGTGTGTGTGTGTGTGTGTGTGTGTGTGTGTGTCAGTGTTTTTTTTTTGTGTAAGGGGTTCGCTGTATTGTCAATTAACGGGAATTCTGCGTATGCTAGACACACTTTTTCCTGCATGTGTGGGCAGTGTTTCATGAGGTGATCCATTTCGTTGCATTGCTTGAATGTCAGCGCGCGCTTGTCGTTCGACTTTTGGAGAGATTCCAGTCTGTAAGAATACACAAATCATTTTGGCTCCGCAATCTCGTGCAACTTTATGTGCTATGCTGGTCGTCCAATCGCGACATTGTTGTTGAGATCTGCCTCGGAAACGTGGCGCTTTTCGTGCCAGATGTGTTTGTGATGCTTTGCCAAACCACTTCCCTTTCTCGAAGATATCATTGCCCGCCCTTGCATTCAGGTGCGTGGCTTTCTTTTGAAGGGGGCGGGCGGCGGGTGCTTGAATCGCCCATAGTGTCCAAGGCTTCCTGGGGACCGCAGTTTTGAGCCACAGAAGCCTCCCTTCCAAAGCGATGGGGTTGGTCGGCGACGTGCCGGAGCCACGAAGGGTAGCAAGGGACCAGCCCCAAACAGAGACGGGTGTGACAAGAAGCCCTTCCGATTTTTCATGCGGGTTGGCGTAGACTCGTTGAGCACCCAATTTCTTTGCAACCTCCAACCAGTCAAGCAGGCTTGCGCAAGCCAGGCCCCACCGAAGCGCGTCGACCCAGACGCAGGCCGCGCAGAAGGCGAGCCCGCAACATCCGGAAGATGACAAGGTCTAAAGCCCGACCTCCGGTGATTTGCCTGCTTTTCCCTTTTTCTTGCAGGGGCTTCCCTTTAAACAAAACACCAAAAAGAAGAGTGCCCCTTTTTGCCGCCCGGAAGTCCACCAGGGACCTAAGACAGTCCAAGCCTTGCTTTTGATGGGTTTGCCTCAAAGGGTGCCCTTGGATGCCAGGCGAAGCAAAACCCCGAGGACCCCTTGGCAGTCTTCGTGGTCCTGCGCAAGGAGAACTGAGACCCGGCTTCTCAAAATGATGAGAGCCGCTGGTGGGGTAGCTAAAGGGGAAAAGGGGCACCAACACTTTTTTTAGGGGCCACAATCTTGAGGAGTGTCGAGCTGGATTCTCAAGGAGCCCTCAGAGGAGTGGCCCAGCACCCCCCCTTTTCGCAAGTGGACAAATCCAGCAGGCACCGGCTGGACCATGGCAAGCTGTACACGCCACTGTTTTTGGGTGCTGCCAATCTGCAAGGCTTGCGCGGGGTTAAAGGAATGGTTTGACGAGGTGTGATGGTTGTGTCACGGGTTGAGCACCGACCCTGGCAATCCCTGTCACATTTGCCATGTCTTCCATGCCTTTGCCGGACACTATCATGAAGTTTGCGTCTTCTGTGCTAGACTGTCACATGTTCTCAACCAGCGCATCACATCTTTGCCCGCCCCTCGGCGTTTTGGACAATGCAGCTGGTAAATGAGTGGCACCAAACTGAAGACGGATGCATTGATTTTCAAGCTGCTTGCGCAGGACCTGGATTGGCCCACAGGCGCACGAGGCCCCAGATGCCGGAGCTTGCCAGAAAGGCAACGACCTCCAAAAAGGATCTGCCTGTGTCGTTTGTCGTTGGCTTTTGTTTTTTCTCGGGTCAGCTGTTTCAACAAATTTTGCTTTCCACGGATGAAAGTTGACGCACCACTGTTGGAGGAACTCTATTTACCTTGAGCTTTAAAGGTGTCAAAGACAGGCTCGTTTAAAATCTCCAGGCAGTTTGGAAGGACGGGCACTTGCCACTCACACACAGGTCGGGTTGAAGCCCTACAAAGGTAAGGAGTGAACTATTTTGTTCCCTGGCGTTCAGAATGTATAGTGTTTGCTTTGCGTACATGTTTCAGGAATTCAGCCGAAATTAAGTGTGAGAGCTCATGCACAGAAAGGCTGAGATACCACGGTGACCGTGGAAGCACTTTGCACCACGACCTGGTCGCCCGTCATATATATATATGTTTTGACTTGAGGCTTCCCTTTTCACTTGGGTGGAAAGGGAAACTGAAAGGGAAACTGAAAGGAGAACCATCATTTCTACTGCTCTCTATTCCGACACAGCCC